CTGCCCCTGTGCTATCAATAAGACCCCTGTAATCTCCTTCAGACCAGTTGTTTGACTCCCTTACCGTCTGTGGGCTGAAAGCTCCAGAAGCAGCTGCTACCACTGCCAATTCAGTCACTCCGAAGGCCTGCTCCTGGTTTGCCGGTGCCAGGGCTGGGCCGGAGGGGCCTGTACTGGACTGCATTCCACTCTCATCCAGGTGCACCCGACCTTTCCTGCTGACTTTTTTTCTTTTTTTTTTGGCTAGGCAATGGGGTTAAGTGACTTGCCCAAGGTCACACAGCTATTGTTAAGTGTCTGAGGCCAGATTTGAACTAGATCCTCCTGAATCCAGGGTTGATGCTTTATCTACTGTACCACCTAGCTGCCCCTTAGAGTAATTTTTAATAGATATTTTGAAGGGGTTTGGGGGAGAGCTCAGGCAAGTTTCTGCCTTTACTTGGCCATTTTGGCTCCACCAACCCCTTTTATCTTTTAATTAAATCCATTTTAGCTTTAATTTTGTCTGAGATCATGATTGCTATTCCTGCTTTTTTTTTTACATCAGTTGAAGCATAATAAATTCTACTCCAGCTCTTTAACTGTGTGTTATCTCTCATTTCTAATTATTGATATACAAGATTCAGGAGAAACATAAGGTAAATTTTAAACACCAATTATAAGAGATTCAGTAAGGTCCAACTGTTGGCTTATATATGAAAATATTATCAGTACTCTTAACACTGTGTAATCTGAAATTATGACAGTGTTAAGAGTACTGACAATATTTTTATATATCAGTAAACAGTTTGACCTGAATCTTGTATGTCAATAATTAGAAATGAGAGGGGCAGCTAGGTGGCACAGTGGATACAGCACCAGCTCTGAAGTTAGGAGGACCTAAGTTCAAATCCAGCCTCAGACACATAATACTCACTAGCTGTGTGACCCTGGGCAAGTCACTTAACCCCATTGCCTAGTGAAAAAAAACCCAAAAAACATATTGTTGGATTCTAATTAATAATCCATTCTGCTAGACATTTCTATTTTTTGGATAAATTCTATTCACATTCAAAGTTATAATTACTAGTTGTGTATTTCCCTGTATCTTATTTTTCCTCACTATTTATCCTTTTACCTCTCCTCATTTGTCTATTTACTTCTATCCACTACCTTACCCTCCTATTCCTTAATCTACTCATTCCCTAAGAGTCCCTCCCTTATCCTCTCCCCACTTTCCTAATTTTTAATCTACTTACCCTTCTAAGAGTTCTTCACTTATCTTATCCCCTCACTCTTTTCTTTATAAATTTAGAAGACTTTTATACCCTTCTAGATGTATGTTTTCTCTTTAACCCAGTTCAAATGAAAGTAAGGTTCTAGCACTACCAGCCCTCTATCCCCACTTGCTTCTGTATCATTTCTTCCTTTCACACTGCATTTGTGTAATTGCTCCTTTTTGCCTCTCCCTACCCAGTTCTTTTTTTTAGAATCAGGCCATCATACTCAGCTCAGTCTAAGCCTTTCTTTCAGATTACCCAGGATATTATGACAGTGTTAAGAGTACTGATAATATTTTTATATATAAGTAAACAGTTTGACCTTACTGAATCTCTTATAATTGGTGTTTAAAATTTACCTTATGTTTCTCCTGAATCTTGTATGTCAAATTTTCCACTAAGTTCTGGTCTTTTTGTCTCATTTACTTGAAAGTCTTTCAGTTTACTGGATGTCTTTTTTTTTTTTAAGTTCAGGATTATACTCAACTTTGCTGGTTAAGTTATTTTTGGTTGCAACACCAGTTTTTTTTTCTTTTTGAAATACTATGTTCTAAGACCTGTTGTCTTTTCATGTGGAATTGCTAGGTGTTGTATGATCCCGATTGCAGCTCTGGTATTTAAACTGTTTTTTTTTTCCTTGCTGCTTGTAATATTTTCTCCTTAACCTGGAAGCTTTGAAACTTGGCTATGATACTCCTCTAAGTTTTCTTTCTGGGATCTCTTTCAGATGGTGGATTAGTGGATTTTTTCTATTTTTACCTTACCCTCTCATTCTAAAACTTCAGGGCAATTTTTTGTAATAATTTCTTGTAATATTATAGCAGGACTTTTTTTGGTCCTTTCAGGTAGTCCAACAATTCTTATGTTGTCTTATATCTGTTCTCCAGATCAGTTGTTTTTCTAAGATGTTTCACCTTCACTTCTATTTTTTGATCGTTATTATTTATTGTTTTGTTATTTCTTGGTGTCTTATAATGTCATTAGTTTCTCCTTGACCAATTCTAGTTTTCAAGGGGTTAGTTTCCTCCTTAAGTTTTTGAATCTCTTTCTCCAATTGGATGACTTTCTTTTCATAATTTTCTCAGATTGTGACTTTTTTTTCCCTGATTTTTCTTCAATCTCTCTTACTTGATTTTTGAAGTCCCTTTGAAGTTCTTCCAAGAACTCTTTTTGGGCTTGTAACCATTTGATGTTTCTCTTTGAGTTAGGAGTGGCTTTTTTTAAACTTCACTATCTTCCTCTGAATATGAACCCAGATTTTCTCTATCCCCATGGTAGCTGTCTATGGTTGGGTTCTTTCTCCTTTGCTTACTCATTTTAACTTAATTTTATTTTTAGTAGCTTATTATTGTAATTGGCTCTAGTCCAGGGATATGAGGAATGGTGCCTTCTTACTGTTATATTCTGAGCTCTGTTGGGAGCCCAAACTCAAGTATTCCTCTCCAACCCAAGCCATTGCTAGGCTTCCCCTTCCCTGTCACTCCCATGCAGTCTGAAAAATTCTCTAGCTCCCTGTGGTCCCTCCCTCAGGTGGCTGCAAACTTCAGCTCTCTCTTCTGCCCTGGAGCCAAAACCAAGGACTTGTAAGTGCCCACAGCCTGCAGGGTCACCACCCCTCTGCTACTCACAGCAATCCCAGAAACCAGTTTGGTCAACACAGCTGGGCCTGGGACAAGAATGGGTCCTTCAATCCTCTTTACTCAGCAGTCTGACCCCATCACTGTCCTGGTGAAAGTTTCTGAGGCCAAGGCTTTCTCCAGAACCAGCTACCCCCAGCATTGTTGTTTGTTCATTCAAGTGAGTCTACCTGGAGGTAGAGTCTGCCTGGAATTGTTTGCACTTCACTTGGGCAGAACCTCTGCCTCTGGAAGGGTAGAACCTCCAACCCTGGAAATAGGGTCTTTCTGAGGTCCACTCCAGCTGTTTTAGGACAACTGCTTTATCCTGACTTTTTGGAGGGCCTGGAATTTTCTGACCTACTCTACCATGTTCCTCAACATTCTGAGAAGGGGTCCATAAGCTTCTCTAGATGACCAAAAGGATCCATGACACACAAAAATAAAAGAACTTTTAATTTAAAGATTTAGTCCCACAGCAATCACCAAAGGGATACTTTATAGCGCTAGACTAGATAGCAAAATTCATTTGGAAAAACAAAATGTTCAGAATCTCTAAATAATGACAAAAGGTAGGAATTTAGGGAGAAAAGTACTTTGATATCTCAAATTATATACTACAAAACAATAATTATCATAACTTTTGTCCTGGTTAAAAAATGGAAATGTAGATCATTGGACCTGATTAGATAAAGAAGAATTGGAAACGAATTCAAACAAGCCAGTATTCAATACACCTTAGAACATAATTTACTTAGGAAATTATTACCTTTATTTGGTAAGAACTGCTAGGAAAACTGAAAAGCAATTTGGCAAAAATTAGGCTAGACAAGGGGTTCTTAACCTGAGGAAAGTGAATTTGGTTAAGTAATTTGATAATTACATTTCAATACATTTGGTTTCCTTTGCAATCCTACATTTTTTGTTTTACTTTTGCTAGGCAGTGGGGTTAAGTGACTTGCCCAGAGTCACACAGCTAGTAAGTATCAAGTGTCTGAGGCCAGATCTGAACTCAAGTCTTTCTGATTCCAGGGCCGGTGCTCTATCCACTGTGCCACCTAGCTGCCCCCAAAGTCATCATCTTTTTTTTTTTTTCAGTGAGGCAATTGGGGTTAAGTGATTTGCCCAGGGTCACACAGCTAGTAAGTGTCAAGTGTCTGAGGTCATATTTGAACTCAGGTCCTTCTGACTCCCAAGGCTAGTGCTCTATCCACTGTGCCACCTAGCTGCCCCCCTACATTTTTAAAAAATGAATTTAAAAACATTATTCTGAGGAGTCAATAGGCTTCACTAGACTGTTAAATGATGGCTGCAGGACATAAAAAAGGTTTAAGAACCTTAGACCAATATGGATGCAAAACCTATGAAAGGTCACACACACCATAAGAAAAGTTAGAAGAGAACCAAATCAATTACTTTTCACAGTAATGGCTAGAGGGTGAGTTCTTAACTAAATAAGAGACAGAGACAACAAAAAAGAAAATAGATGATCATGATTACATTAAACCAAAGTTTTTGTAGGTGCAAAATCAATGTAACTAAGATAAAGAAGGGAAGCTGTTGACTGTGAAACAGTATGGTATAATGGATAACGTGCTGGACTTGAAATCAAGAAAATGTAGGAAACAAAGCAGACACTTATCAATTGTGGAATGGCTAAAAACATTTTGGAACATGAATGGAATAGAATATTACTGAGCTGTTAAGGAACAATAAATAAGAATGATTTCAAAAAGCATGGGACAACTTATGTGGGACTCATTTGATATGTTGGTTAGTTTTACTTAACTGTTTTTTCTCCTTATTTATTCTCCCTATTTATAAGAGGCACAGCTCACTGGATATGGTCAGTTGAAGCTGCTTCAGGCGCAACTTTCTAAGACCACAAGTTGAAAAGAAATACTAATAAGCACTGAGAGAGAATTTCCTTACTGGGAGTTGTCTATAACAACAAAATCACAGGTCTAATCCCTAACCCTATTGCTCCCTCAGCATTACATGCAGTGCCCTTAACACAGTAGGGATGAACAAATATATGCTGAATGAATCCTTAACTTAATGGGACACGGAGTGAGAATTAAGGAACATAAGAATGGATTGAGAGAAACGTAATAAATCAAGCTACTCAATTAGTAAATCCAATTTATTAAATGTCAGAAACAAAACTCATGAACAGGAGCAGTGATAAAGGATAAATCAATATGAAAGTGTTTCTATTTTAGGAATCAGCTAGATCTCTTTCAGAACTGAACTCTGTCTACCGGGCAAAAAGAGGCCGCATGGTCCAAGTAAATCCAGTCAGTCCTATGTGGTGTTTGAGGGCCAAGCGAGGCTGAGAGGACTGACAGCACATTCTAGAATATTTTTCTTGTGGGGGAACAGGGAAGAGAGGATTAGCGGGATAAAGCTGTTGGGTGAATAGTTGGTTCTTTGCTCCATGGAATCTTCATTCTCTTCCTGACAGATCTTAGCTAAGGAGGGAGTGAGCAGGCTTTTACTTGGATAGACCAATTATGGCCCAAATTACAGTAACCATGGATTGCAAAAGAATAGGTATTAAGCCATAAACATCTCAACTGGCTACAGCAGGGGAGGAAAAAAAAACCAGGGAATGGGGGTAAGAAACTTAGGGTGGGGAAAATCAGAAATGAGGATACAAGCCAGATGATAACATGGAGGATTTTCTCTGGGAAGAACCACCAGTAGCAAAATGGTTCTATACCTAATCCATACCCCAGCACAGAGCCTCAGCGGAACTGCAGAGGACTGATTCTTAGACCAATCACATCTTTGCCAATTTCTGTCACCTATGGAAGAGAACAAAAGAAAAAAAAAGTGAGCCAGAGAGAAGTTGGAGCATCTAAGGATGAGAGTGCTTCAAGAGGATATTTATGTGGGGCTGAGAGGCCCAAGGACATATCTGCTCCATTCTACTCAGTAAGGGTGATGAACTCAGAACTTTTTTATTCATTGACATGGAGCAGTAAAGAAGGTGTATAAAAGAGAAATCTCTGTCCTTGAAGAGTCCCCTTGGACAGTACTTACTGTGGTGACACGGCAGATCTGGCCCTGAAACTCAGGACAGTAGCAAGCCCCACTGAGGGGACATTTCTCCACTGGCTTGCCACGGTAAATAGGTCGGTAGGATGCAGCACAGATGTCAAAAGGGTTGTGCATGTCATAATTGAGCTGGTAGGCATCTGTGGGGTTCTTCTCGCAGGCTGACAGGATCTTTCGAGTCTAAGGGGATATTAGAGAGAGGGAGGGTGATGGTTCACAGAAGATCTTTCCAGCACCCCCTAGCATGTTTTAGCAATTTTTTGCCCCCTTGTTGCAGTTGCTGTGAATAAAGCTCCCACCATTTAAGGCTTCCTTTTATAAATGGCCCAGAATTGTGACCAGTGTGGCAGACACTGAGAAGTTAGGTCACCTTCCCAGGGTCACACAGTCAGTGTGCATCAGAGGAGAGACCTGAACCCAGGTCATTCTGACTCTGAGGCTGGGTCTCTATGCACCATGTGATGCTGCCACTCTAAAGAATACACACACACACGCACACACACAGAGACATATATTCCCAAGTTATTCATTATTCAAGGGACACTGTTCCACGGATGAGGGGGAATACCCATTCTTCTGTTTTGTGTCTCACCCAAAAATTAGTACTTTTGATCCATAGTCCTTCACAAGTTTGGCATATTTCATCTCAGCCACAGAAAGCCACGACACTTCCAACTGATGGGAACATTGCTATTTTGGATGAGGGATAGAACACATATGTGTGCATGTACACACATATATATGGCTGTGGTATTTTCTCCTTCTTAATTTAGGAAGAATGGTTGTGAAATTCTGGAGATAAACAACTGAACTTCTCATTTCTGGGGGTACATAATCACCCTTCCTGTTGGCCCCATGTCCAGTTCTTTAACATCTATCTCTTTCCCACAACAGCTGGATTGAGTAAACTTACTCCTTCCTCAATCTCTAGAGGTAAAGAAGTACCCAGGGAAGACCCACCTGCCTCCATGGTACCTGTTGTGGGGGACAGAGATCCTAGAGTTTCTCCTTCTGAATATACTTGACTAACCCTGATTTCCCCCATAATTGCCTAAGAAAGTGCCGGCTACCTGCTGGGACACTTCAGGCTTGGGCCCCAGTTCTAATAGGCGCCGTGCAAAGGTAGCAGCAGTCTTGAAGTTCTTGAGTTTAAAGAAGAGATTAAGAGCCGTTCGAAGCACCAGGATCATATGCACAGGCTGCAGATTGGAGTGGGTGAAGTAAGCTGCCATCTGGTAGGGAGAAAAGAGAACACAATTAATGCTCAAGTTCTGGGGGCTTGACTGGCTATGTATTAGGCTGGTGCTGTAAAAATTAGTAGCTTAGTGTGAGACTGAGTCCATCAATAGAAGCAGGACTAAATAGAAAGTACTCTAGAAAGAGAGCTTGTGACTCGATTACAAAGCAGAAGGGCTTCCAGCTCCATGGTATGGGGGACTGGTAGCAATGGGAGACAATATTTAAAACAAAGACTGTGATATTCTTTTCTCTGCCTTAAGCTTAGACCAAACTGTCCCAGCTCAGCCAACCTCATTTCCTATTGACCCTGAATTAAAGACCATGTGAAGATGGAGCCCCATTTTCAAGCTATGGTGAGAGTAGATCACATAAAGATCCCAGGACTGGGGAAAGGGCCTACAGTTCTCACCTCACAGATGCGCTTCTGCTGTTCTAGGCTCTCCTTGGGCAACTTCTTCCTCTCAATCTCCATTGACAAACCCACAATGTACTCACGGCAGATGGCAATGAGCTGCTGGGCCTGAGAAAAGGGGCCAAAAATGGCAAAGTCAGGCCCAGCAGAGAAGGTGATGACGAGGGCCAAGAGATCACACAACTTCTTACCTCAGCAATTTCTTGCTTACTGTCCACTACAAGAAGTGGCACGCTAAGCAGGATAGAACGAAATTTCTCCACTGCCTCCTCAAACTTGCCCGCTGTAGTGAGCTGATAGCACAGCTGCAGTCGCTGGATCAGGTCATTAAGCTTCAGCCCCACAGCTGGCACACCATTCTTCAGCCCTGCATCTTTCCTGGAAAGATGAAGGTGAGGAAAGAAAGGAGATAGTAGGGGCTAGTTAAAGATCAACATCCACCTTGTAGGTAGCCTGGCAGCTGGGAAGAACAGTGTCAAGGAGAGTGAACATTCTAAATACCAGCCTTTTGCTCTCAAACACACTTGATGCAAGGACAAACCTGGCTTTGTCACTGGCCAACTTGTGGGCCTTGAAGCGGAAATCCTGTTATTTTAAACACTTACTCTACTGTTTTAGGAAGCAAGGAGAGAGTAGGCCCTTACCAATTGCGATTTGGGTAACCATACATGGTGGGTAGGCAGGGCAGAGCCTGGTATGTGGTCCTGCCTCGGGCATACGTCTGGAGAAATAACTGCTTATAGGGGCCAAACTGGGTTACTCCAACCTGGTCGTGAAGGAGCTGTAGGAAGAAGATAAAACATGTGAAAACCCTGTAAACTGGGCTGCTTCTACACAGAATTTACAGCATACAAATTGTCCTTGAAAGGGTACTTATTCCACTGATATGGACCTTGGAGGCAGCAAAAGGGTAGGAAGAAGGAAGGGGAACTAAGAGGAACTACTAACCAGTGGGTCAGCTGGAGAGATAATGGGAAGCAGAGGGAAGGGACTGGGATGGCCAGACAGAGGCATATGTACTTATGGGAAGAGAAAGCATCTTTTACAGGATTCAGATGGATGCCATGAGCTCCTTAGGGGATCCTGGATGAGATAAGCTGGAGGCTGCACCGAGAGGACTTACCCGCATGGCTGTCTCAAAGGAGCCTGCCAGGATGTGGTCAACTGGCAGCTGGGAATTATTGCACCAGATCTGATGGGGGAAACGAAATGTCTTAGCAACTAGATGGCACGGTGGGTAGAGTGCTGGACTTACAAGTCAGTAAGATCTGAATTCAAATCCTGCCACAGACACTGATGGTATAACCCTGAGCAAGTCATAACCTCTTTGTACTTTAGTTTCTTCATCTATAAAATGAGAGTGCTGGACTCAAAAGTTTCTAAGGTCCCTTAGAGCTCTAAATACAGATTCTATGATCCTATGAAGGTGAAAAACATACTTTTTTCTCCCATCTCCCATCTCTTCAAGTTTTACCAGACTTGTTTGTCACCAACTACACATTAGCTAGGTCAGGAAGAAGGCAGCACCCTAAGGATAAAATCAGAATTACAGATGTATAGAGATGGAAGGGACTTAAGTGACGTCTAATTTAATCCATACTTGGAAAAGAATACCCTTTACATTCCTCTACAAGTGGTTATCCAATCTTTATTTGAAAATCTCCAGTGAAGGGGCACCTACACTACTATCTAACAAAGCCTCTTTCATTTTTTTGATAATCCTGTAAAAATGTTTCATTACTATAAGCCTCAATTTCCTTCTTTGCAATTTCTTTTTTTAGATATAAATTTATTTATTTTCAGTTTTCAATATTCACTTCCACAAGATTTTGAGCTCCAAATTTTCATCCCATATCACCCCTCCCCCACCCCAAGATGGCATGCATTCTGAACATCCCCTCCCCCAGTTCGTCCTCTCCTCCATCTCTTCCCGATTCTTCTATCCCCCTCCCCCCCATTTTCCCATAGGCAGGACAGACCTCTGTACCCCATTTCCTGTATTTCCCATTTCCCAATAGCATCTGAAAACATTTTTTAAACATATGTTTTTAAAACTTTAGGTTTCAAATCCTCTCCCTCCCCCCCTCCCCACCCACCCACCTCCCCCCACCGAAAAGGCAAGCAACCCAATACACGTTACACGTGTGCAGTCATGCAAAACACCTCCACAGTAGACATGTTGTGAAAAACCAACTCTATTTCCCTTAATTCTACCTTCTTTGCAATTTCGATGCATTGTTCCTAATTCTGCTTTGTGAAGCCAAGTGGAAAAGGTCCAATTCCTCCTCCAAATGACAAAGCCCCAATTTGAATAATATTATTACCCCCCCCCAGAGCGTCTCTCCTCCAGACTAAACATCTCCAGGTTCCTTCAACTGATTTTCATGTGTTATTGCTTTCAAGGACCTTCAACTTTTTGACCTCTTATGGACACTATCCAGTTTTTCAATATCCATTTTAAAATGTAATGCCCATATAAAACTGCATATCCTTTGATCCAGCAATACCACCTCTAGGTCTGTATCCTAAAGAGATCATACAAATGGGAAAAAGACTCACATGTACAAAAATATTTATAGCAGCTCTTTTTGTGGTGGCAAAGAATTAGAAATTGAAGAAATGCCCATCAACTAGGGAATGGCTGAACAAGTTGTGCTGTATGAATGTAATGGAATACTACTGTGCTATAAGAAATGATGAGTAGGTGGATTTCAGAAAGACCTGGTAAAGCTTACATGAACTGATGCTGAGTGAAGTAAGCAGAATCAGGAGAACATCATACACAGTAACAGCAACACTGTGCAATGACCAACTGTGAGACATTTAGCTCTTCTCAGCAATACAATGATCCAAGACAATTCCAAAAGACTTGTGATGGAAAATGCTAACACATCCAGAAAAAGAACTATGGAGTCTGAACGCAGACTGAAGCATACTATTTTCACTTTTTTTTGTTTTTTCTTTCTCATGGTTTCACCTTTTGTTCTGATTCTTCTTTCACAACATGACTAATATGGAAATATTTAACATGATTGTACATGTATAACCTATATCCGATTGTTTGCTGTCTTGGGAGGGGGGAGAGAGAGAGAAAAATCTGGAATTCAAAATCTTATAAAGATGAATGCTGAAAACTATATTTATATGTAATTAAGAAAAAATACTATTAAATTTAAAAAATTGAAAAAAAAAGAAAAAAAGAAATCTTAGGGGAAAAAAAATGTGACACCTAAAACTAAAGACAATATTCTAATTGTGGCTTAATGAGGGACGAGTACAACTTGATTATCAACCACCTTATTCCTGGCTACTGTGTTTCACTGCAACCTAAGAATGTATTAGCGCTCCTGATAGACATATCCCACTGCTAACTCTTGTTAAGCCTCCGGTCCACTAAAACTCCTAAATCTTTCTTGAACCAACTACCTACTATCTTCTGAAAAGGATTTTTTGAAACTAAGTGTTAACCCTCTGAAATTTGGTTTAATTAGATCTAACCCAGTGTCCTACCTTGTTAAGATCTTTTAGAATTCCGTCATATTAACTAGCATGTTCCCTTCATCCAAATCAGTGGTAAAATATTAAATGCAATGAAAAAAGTATAGCACCCTGAGAATGTCCACAACAGAATTTGAGTCCAGCCATTCAACTACTTCCAAAGCCACTTAATTTTACTACTGCTTAAGCCACATTTCTCTAAGTATTTCACAAGAACAGCAAGGATTATTTTATCAAACATTTTTGCTAAGTTCTAGGTAATTTGTTGCTACAGTAACAACTGGCCAGTTTAGTAACTTTTTAAAGAAAGGAAATAAACTTACTCTGGTATGACACATTTCTGGTTAAGTTACATTGGTTTTTTGCAACCACTCTTCCTTTTGTAAACATTTGTTAACTATCCTCCTATCTTAGAGTAAAAGTGAAGCATTATTTTCTTTTTTGAAAACTGGTACATTCTCCTATTCCTATCCTTACAGCACCTCTCCAGTTGACACCCTTTCAAACAGCACTGACAATGACTCACCAATCACATCTGCCAGTTCTCTGAGGTCCTGAGGGTATAGTTTATCTGGGCTGGGTGACTTGAACCCACCAAAAATAGCTAGGTATTCTATTACTGTCTCCTTTTTTATCTTGGGTATTAACACCCTATTAGCTATATAATCAATTCAACTCTACAATTTTTTTACTGAATAAATTTTTATTAAGTGCCTATTATGTGCCAGGCATTATGAAGGCTACATCTCCCTATAGCAACTAGGTGATGCATTAAGTACAGCACTGGGCCCAGAGTCAGAAAGAACTGAGTTCAAATCTTAAGCAAGTCTCTTAACTTCTGTATCCATTTCTTTTTTTTCTTTTGGATAGACAATGGGGTTAAGTGACTTGCCCAGGGTCACACAGCTAGTGTTATGTGTCTGAGGCTGGATTTGAACTCAGGTCCTCCTGAATCCAAGGCCAGTGCTCTATCCACTGTGCCACCTAGCTGCCCCTGTATTCACCATTTCTTCAATTGTAAAATGGGGACAATAATAGCACCTCCCTTTTAGCACAGTGCCTGGCACATGCCAGGTGCTTAATAAATGTTTGTTCCCGTCTACTTACCTGAGTAGGACTCGTTCCCTTGGTGGGGGGCACAAAGAATCCATCTTCAGTGCCTCCAGCTGCCCCAGGGGAAACATCCTGGAGAGGAAGAGAAATTCACTCTCTTGGCTTCCTTACCCTTTTGCTCTGAGGAATTCAAAGCATAGAAACTATTGCCTCAAGCCTCCACACCCAGTAAAATGAATAATAGATTTGTCTATATTCACAGAACCAGGAGAATCACAGGAAAAAAAAATCATATAGCATTTTCTTAATGTGGGTCCTTTCCCATACCACCTTTTCCTTCCAAAGGAAAAGAAGCAGCAGACTGAATAGAAGTTATCAAGGGAGATAGAAAGCCTAGATCTCCATCCTTTGGGAGACTCAGTCTTATGTCACAACCCCTACTGAGCAATGCACAAAAACAGGAAAGGAACTCTCCATACTAGCTCAGGTGGAAGTTCCAGGTCTTCTTCTACGTCCCAGCCACCTCCTTCTTCCTGCCCTTTAGCAAGAGCTTCATCGCCAAAACCCTCTGCAGCTTCCACGAAGCCATCTGTAAGGAAAATCCAAATTTTTGTCGGCTTTGGATAGATGCATGGCCACAGTCTCAGTGAAGCTGAACTCTACAGGCCTAGTTGGCCCCCATTAATTTGGAAACCTTCAGATTGCCCCTGTAGGTTTCCATCCAATGGCCCACTCAAATCTCTGAATCCATTTCACTGGCTTTTCCTCGTGCAAATCTCTCACCTTCATCCAGCTGCAGCTCTGCATCCTCTCCCCAGCCTTCAGTGCCAACAGTGTCAATGTCAATGTCAGCAGCCAGTGCACCTCCTTTCCCTGTAAGGATGGGGAAGAAAGAGGTCACAGAGCTGAGGCAACCAAAAGATCTTGACCCCCCAACAGATGTTTCTTAATCCTGTTTATTCTTTTTCATCCAAGGCCTAACTTAAACAGATGGGGTTAGCAACTCTTTAGAAGGGACACACAGGGTTCTTTTTCTCTTTTGGTATTTGGGGAGGAAAGAGATAATATGTTAACTCTTGAAAGTTGGGAACTATTACTGTGCTGAATATTGCAATAAGGGCCAACTTTCATAATAAATAAGGACTGGAGCTTCGAAAGAACTGACCTATAAGCTCCTGAAAATTGGCCTTTGTGCCAGATAAACTCTAGGATGATAACCCCTTTCTTATAGTCTCATTTCTCTCTAAAATCTGGCCTAAATCTGTCTTACTACAATTCAGATTCATTAGAGAACTTAGCTACTCTTCACAAACATATCTTTATTCATTTTTCCTTGCAAGTAATTCAATCTTAATTTTCCCCTCTACACCTGTTTGAAAGATCCATAAGACAGAGTATGACGCAGATGAAGCTGCATTTTAAGGCAGTGTCATGGTACAGGCAGCTTCACATTTCCAGAGGCTTGTGTCCCATAAGGGACACCCAGAAAAAAAGGCAGATGGAGCCAAAGTAAAGCATAGATTGCTGACAATATCCACTGAGTTATACCAATTAATCAATCAGTAAACATTTATTAAGCACCTATGTACCAGTCACTTCAATAAACAAAAAGTGGTACTAGATAGTTGACAGCTAGTGGATGTGGTGTATACTTACCCTTGCTGGCAATAGAACCCTCAAAGAAGCCTTTGGAAACAGTTAGCAGGGGCCAGTTGGTGTCCAATGGCATGATGGGTGCAGGTGGCTGAAGCAGCCTGGCATTAGGGTCAATGTCTGGAATCTGAAGGGTGATCAAGAATAGCAACAAGGTTATAAAAAACAAAGGGAAAATGGCTGGGGTCCACTCTGGTCATTGATGTCAACCTTCAAAATTTTATACACCAAAGTCCCTTCTAGGAGCTCAGACTTTTCCCCTGATCCAGATCAAAAGAGCCTAATCTGGGACTTACTGTCTCCTTCTCTGGGTCAAATGTCTCCTTGAGGCTCTCTGCTTCCTCATCCAGACCATGAGTGGCAGCTGTAAGGTAGGCCAGGGATTCTGTGGAGGAAACGGACCTCAATTCTAGACATCTACTTTCTCTATCCCTTAACCTGGACATTAATGTTCTATCTGGTGAGAATCTTTTCTTTTTCTGGTTTCTTGAGAAGTGAGAGCTCCTTTTGGAGCAATGAAAAGGTGTGTAGGTTTTGAGGGGAAAAGCAGAATCATTACCTTCTCTACCAGTTGATTCCTAAATTGCCATTTTAAGCTGTGGCTGTTCTAGTACACCAACCTCATCCCTTTCCTCTGACTTGCCAGGACACCACAATCCAACAGACCTACAAACATGAATGGCATCCTCCTTGGGATGTCAGGTGGTCAGATTATTATGGTATGCATAAAGTATAGATCATTCTTGACCTGGGAGATCTGCAGGAAGGTGGTTCTAGAACTGAGCCAGTCTGTGTTTTAAGAGAAGGATTTTACCCATCTAGTTTTTGGGAATTCTGATTCTAAGCCTCTCAAACTCCTGTATTACACTAACACCCATACTTTTGCTCTTCCTGTAGAAGCATTCCTGGTCTTAAAGTCATGGGCAGCACCTTCTTTTTTGTGTGAATATGTGTCGTTCCCCTCTCCCCTCCCCACCCCATGACGGCAGGCTTCCTGGGAAATACAAAAGGAAGCATACAAACCCAGATCCCTGACCCTAACAGGTATGTATTATGGAATGGAAAGCAGTGGCTATTTAAGAGTTAAAGGACCTGATATGTATTTTAAACTCACTCTGCCCACAATTCTTCAGGATGCGCACACGTTCTGAAACATCACCCAGGTACAGGGCATTTTGATAATGGCCACTCATGTCTTTTCGGATCTCAGCTGCACAAGATAAGAAGAAACATCAGGTCATGTCCTCTTCTCTTTTTCTTCCCTCCTCCACAGACCCTCTTTTTCTAACCCTGGTTTTAGGGACCTCACCGATCTTCATCATCTTGCGAAGTTTCTCAAGGTTGCCAGTGATGAGGTATAGGAAGGAAAGTTTATCAAAATTCTTGGTACGTTGGTAGCACATCTCCACAATCTGATGGTTTCCCTGGAGTAGGGCCACTTCTCCTAGCTTTTCCCAGCAATTCTTGTCATCTAGAGCCTTGGCTGCTTCTAGGGCAATCTGAGGATATCCCAAGAGATACAACTGAGAGGTTAAGAGTGGCTGTTGCTGACCTAGGAACTCTGAAGGTTTAGACTTCAAGTTAAGTTACTGGGGCACCGGCTGTACTTTCAATTCTATTAGACCTTATTCTTATTCTATCTGATTGAAATCACCCTGTCATATGTATATTCCTCAGGGATTTGGATCCACGTCAGGGAACCACACCAGCTTTGCCACTGTCTAGCCTTACAACTTGGAGTGGGTTAGGGAAAGTGGAAGGGGCTAACTCTAGAGGTGGTAGGTTATTCCTTAGTGGTTATTTAACCAGAGGCTAGATGACCACTTAGCTATTATAGTGGGAATTCCTTCTGGGTATGGTTTGGATTTGATAGTTTCTAAGGTCCCTTTCAACGCTCAAATCAAGTAATTCTATGATTAATTTGCACAGTTTTTCAACAAATTATTCACTGAAATGATATCAGAGAAGCTGTGGAACTCCATGGAATCAGGTCCAACTTAGCTACCCTGTTTCCTGCATGTTGTATTGTTAGGTTCTTAAAGGTGAGTCAGCTGGGGTCTCTGTTGTTGTTTTAGTCATTTTTCAGTTGTATCTCACCTGTGACCCCATTTGGGGTTTTCTTGGAAAAGATACTGAAACAGTTTGCCATTTCCTTCTCTAGCCCATTTTACAGATGAGGAACTAAGGCAAACAGAGTTAAGTGACTTGCCCAGGGTCACACAGCTAGTTAAGCGTCTGAGGTCAAATCTGAATTCGGCCCAGTGCTCTATTCACTGTGCTACCTTGCTGCCCTGACATCTCGTAAAGTAAGACTAAAAAGGCAGATATTCAGAGTTGAACGGATGTGATAAACATCTCACATCATTATGTCATTTTAATAGACTCCTTTCAAAGAGGAATTTAATAAACTCCTCTCTCTACCTGAGGAAGCAGAACAACGAATGCTGTGATTTGTTCTCCATTTTGACTATCCCGTTCTTGTCTTGGGAGTAATAAAAGAAAGTGAAAACAGAAATACCACAGGTTATGAGATACTCACAGAGACAAAGATAAAGACAGGTAGGAGACAAAGAGAACACAAACATAACGGTGATACAGCTTACCATCTAAAAAATCCTGAACTGCATTTGAGGTTCTTCTCTTACAAACCCAATTATCCAATTCTTCAACTACCAACCCATGCCCTGATATTCCAAGAGACTGGTGGCTTTACCTCAATGTTGCCACATTCCAGGGCCAAACTAAATCGAGTCTTCTCATCCTTAACAAAGTGCAGTGCCACTTCTGGATAGCCCTTCTTCTGGAGATAGGCAATGATGGACTGGCCCACCAACTTGGCATTCCTCACCATGTGCAGTACCTAGAAGTATGTTTGTGGGAGCAGGGATGGTGATAAAGACTGCTCAGAAGAGAAGTAGCAATTCTTGCATTTGATTTTACTTAAAGATGTCCCCTCTTCCCTGGGGCTGTTTTTTCACCATACCTCATCATATTTCCTGTTGATTAAGGCTAGCTTGAATTTGAACTCGGTGGGATCAATGGTAAGCACTCGTGGACGACACTCTCGGTCTAGGCAGTACACATTATTGCCCTTCACCCGTGTGACATAGATTGGCAAGTCAAGGGTACGGATGATCCCATGGTCCCTAAACATGAGAAGAGAGGGAGAAGAAAACACAGCTATGAGCACGGTGGAGAAACAGTTTCAGGTCTAAGGTAGGCCCTACCATACAGAGAAAACAGGGAGCTCTGCCTCTTTCTCCTTACTATGCTGCTAAATCCTATCCAGCCTCACTGATCCATCTATCCTTGATCTGCCAAATGCTACCTGAGTTATTGAGGAAAGAATTTATGACAGGAGGATGATACTACATGCTGACATTATTAATTTACTTTCTCATGTAGACTGAAGGTAGGATAAGGAACTCTGCGTTTTCCTTTAGAAAAAATTATTTTTAGAGGTGGGAGATGATGGGTAGGGGAAATTCTATGTACTGTCAGACTTGATATTTGGGTTGGTTTTGCTGAACTGCTTTCTTTTCTATTTTTTGTCATAACAGAAGTTTCTTTGGAGAGGAAAGGAGAGAAGGACATATTTGAAAATGAAGGTGACATAAAAAAAGACATTGACAGGAAGTGTAGAGGAATGTTATGTAATGATGAGTGAAGGAAGTCAGTGGTGAGCAAAATGACCACTTACCTTCAGAGTACAAATCTGGTCACTGGATTTGATAACAAGACTTCCAAGTCTCTTGGAGAATGAGATGATGATCTCAAATATATCTCTCTAAGATAGGTCAGTTGTTTCAGAAAAATACATCTTCTTATGTAGAGAACTTACCCAGTAGTGACAGCATATTTGATGTGGTTGCTGGTGGTATAGATAAACACACCACTCTCGTCCCAGGCACCACTCTTGACACGAATATTCTCATGGATGTTACAAAGTGACTCCAGTTTACGATTGCAGATCATGATGGCTATAAGAATCAGGGAGCAAGGGACATAAGTATCCTGTTGGGACACACAGGGTGGTATAGGTAGATGAGGGAGCCTGCTCTGGGTTAGTTCTTACCATGCTTGGCCAGCAGGGCTACATGGGACATATCTGCTGACCAAATGACATACTTCACTTTGGAAATCTTTACGGATGCCAGAGTCCTAGGAAGAAAAGGAGACACAGAATAAGGGGGACATCATCCCTTTATCCCAGGTCACAATCTAGATTCTGATGGTCTCTAAGGGACCAAAGCAGTTGGGCTAATTACCGCTTCTGCTGTACATCAAAAAGTGTGATGGAATCAGCGTCTCGGAGCAGCAGGTTCCCTGTGCCTGCATAAAAGATCTCATCACAGTTAGGGACCTGCACTTTTTTGGTGATTTCATTCTTCAAGTTCTTGATGAGAAGCTGAATTGAAAATGAAAGGATAAGGCATTTAGTGTACAGGAAAAAATGTGTAAGGTTCCTTTCTGAGTAGCTACTTCCTCAGCTTCAATTAGTTATATGCTCTCTTTTCATTATTCCATAAATCTTATGCTGATCAAGAGCTTAAGATGTGTTATTAGGTAAGGGTTTTTTCCTTTTCATAGCACCCTCTTCTTAGCCCTTTCCTCAGTGGAGACATTCAGAGAAGCTTGGCAATGACTGTATTCATCAAAGAAACCTAAAAGAAAGTCTGCAGAGCTAGTCACATAAATATATGACTGATCTCAATCTAAGGGCAGAAAGACGACACTGCTTACTGTTTGCTTCATAGCTTCCTGACAGAGCATGGTGGTAACAGAGACAGTATTTTATGCAGTAAGGTAGGCCAACAGTCTATTACAAGCCCCACGGTAAGACATTCTTCATACCCAACAACAGGGGAGAGGAATATTTTATTACAGGTTCCATTTTTCAAACCTTGTGGCTTCGGCTATTGTAAAGAGCACCTTATTTTAGAACTTAAGCCCTGAGGTGATCTGCCTGTGATCTCAATTGTCAATCTCAACAAGAAAGGTTGAAAATCAATTCTGTTTACTAAACACCACTTAAAAAATGGCAACCAAACCCTGCAAAAACATCTTGGTTATAACTCACCGAATGCATACGATCCAGGACAGCAAAACGATTTCGGGCAACCCACACGGCTGTCAGGCCAGAAGAACGTTTCCCTTCAGGGGCTAGGGAGAACAAGATGGGGCGGGGGTCAGTAAGGAGGGACATGTGGTAAGCCACTGGCAGGTGACAGAGTCAGGTGCTATGGAACTGCCAGTCCTGCTGGCTGCCATCTTGGCTATGCCAGCTCAGCTGCTTCCTAACTAATTCAGTCATAACCCGAGGCTATTGATGAGTGACTTTTCCCCACCATTCTTCTCCAAATGCCAGTACCAATCCCCCAATCCTCTTTCCCTAGGCCAAGTGGCTGCCTGTCAGCCAATGCCATGTGCTGGCAAAGGGGCCTCCTATCCTAGGAGACAGAACACTCTGTCAAGCTAACGAGCAGGGCCTTCCCGGCCAAGCTGTGGCACAGTGAGGCGCCTGTCGGTGGCCCAGGACCCCCCACTGATAGGCGGCTAAACAAGCTGGAGGAGAGGCAGAGCCCCCCTCTCTAGCTTGCAGCTGTTCTGCTGCTTTTAACATGTAAATGCAGGCCTCCTCAAGGAGCCCTGTGGGACTGGGTGCAGAATTCAGAAAGCACTCTGACTGAGGGGAGCCCTTAAGGAAGGAGGACTCTGTGATGAGCAGCATCTAGTACATAGTTGGTGCACAACAAAGTTCAACCGTTGCCATCAGCCCTTAGAAGACTTACAAAAATCTCACGTCACTTGAAGCTGATTATGAAGTTGAGGCAGATCTTCTTAATGCCTAGCCCCTACTGTCTGGGCACTCAGTATGAGGACGAACAGAAGGATGCACTGTAACGCTCCTTTATCTATCAGTAACAGGAGATAATGTGGCAGAACGTACTGACCGACATACTGAGTGGCCTGGCCTAAATTTCTCAGACACCTGGGGTGTCTGGCTATTTACAGGGCTAATTATTATTGTAGCCAACACTCCATTACCAGGAGCTTGTGATCCAATGTGTGGATTATCCAAGTCTTTTGCTTCTCCTCCTCTTTCCTTCTGCTACCCATCTTTGGGTTGTTTCTTTGCTAATTAGTAATCCCATCTTCCCCCTCCAGGACAGGCAAGGAAAAGGAAAAGAGATAAGAGAAAGCTAAAACTCCTCAAATTTTCATAAGCAGTTGAGCAGTTCTGAGGGAGAAAAAGTTAGGTTGGTGAGGAGGCTAAACTGCTCAATGGAAGTTCTAGAAGGATTCCTAAATATCCATCACCAAGATATCCAGAGTTCTTACTCATTTTTGTGTCATGAACCACTTGGTGGTCTGGTGAAACCTATGGACCCCTTCTCAGAATAGTTTTTTTTTTAAACTTCCTAATGGAAGGAAATGATAAATTTCAGGTAGAGGTTGGTGAGAATAGAGATGTAATTTTTTTTTCCCATCTGAGTTCTCATTCTGTCAAGATCTAGGTCCTTACAGTTTCTGTGACCATTCATAGCAGCAGCAGCAATGCCATAGAAGAGAGTGGTTGTCCCAACGAAGGGGACATGCCCCACCAATCTAAACTATCAATGGGCCACAAAAAAGGCTCCCCTGCAGGGGTCAAGGTGTTTATAAAGAAATGAAGATCTGAGGCCTGAACTGCTGTCCTGCTGGCTTCTGCAGGATGAACAGGAGGGACCACAGGAAGAAGAACATGAGCAGGAGGCAGAGCCACTCCAATAATCAGCAACGTCAGCAAGTTCTTACAGAGAGACAGTTCACAGTGGGGTAGGAGTGATGGAGGAGGCAGCAGGGTCTCAGCTGGATCCTGAGATCCCAGGTGGGGATTGGGGCTGTTAACAGCCACATCTTTCTGACATGTGAGGGGAGGCAAATTGGAGCTGGAAGTGGATGGGAGAGCATAAATCCCCAGCCCCAGGGTGACACATTCCCAGATTGGAACCACATTTTTAAATAAATGAAACTACCAGGGTGAAAGTCATCTCAGCTGACAATAAACCAGGAGAGCATGCTGTGCTGAAAGGGAAAATGGAGAGTTTCTAATAACCAAATTATAAAATATATATATCTAGCTGGGGTAATAAAATGTGGGAGGAACATGAATTTTTCACAGTGTAGTCGCCTATGATGCAGTTGTCAACGGCACCTGCCAACAGACATGAGCAATGTGGATATGGTCTGGGAAGGGAAGGTGGAGGACTTGAAGAGAGATGATGATGTGAGTGAGGGGTGGCGCTGGAATGAGTGGAGCAGCTGAAAGCTTACCATCAGGATTCTGAGAGTCAGCATCCTTGGGAATAGTATATAGGTCATAGGTGCTGTTTTCTAGGTTGCTGGCTCTCTGTAAAAGAGAGTAGTGAGATTATCAATGTAAAAGAACATAGCAAAGCTCTTCAAACTATCACAAAGAAAATATTTCTTTTCTAAACATATAATACTCTGAATATCTGATTTTAACATAGCCTATTCCTCCCCTCCCTGAGATGTGTGAAGAATGTACAAATAGGCAGGGTTTGTAGGGATCTTTTCCAAAAATTTTCCCACATATAAAATGCCATTCATCTTCCTCAAACCCTGAAAATTTAGGATAACCATAGGCATTACTCTTTTTTCAATTTTACGGATGATCAAACTGAAGGACAGAAAGGGGAAAAGAATCTTTTCGTGTCTCAGAGCAAATTGGCTGAATGCAGGTAATCTGTTCTGCTCCCTTAGAGTGCCATTACTCTCTACTTCCAGCATTCTTCAGTAAACTAAAAAAAACAAAAGATGCTTATTTAAAAGAGAAGCTGCCATTGAAGAGTTAGTCTTTAAAAAATAGGCGTTGGAGCAAGAAAAATTAGCAATAGAGCCCATAAATCAAAAGTGGAATAGGAACATTGGTCTTATTTTCTTGACTTGGCATTAGGGGAACTAACACTGGGGATATTTTTTAAACTTCACTACAATTTGGGTTGCAAGAAGTAGAGAAGGTAACGTGGAGACCCTGTATCTTTTTCTAAAAGGCCTATTAATTATCTGACCCAAACAATGAGATCAAGTTAACTGCTTCCTAGGCTAAGAGGAAATATACTGTTAAACACTAAAAATTCAAAACAAAATTGTCCTTTTGAAGATTTAGGACATTCTGTATTTCACAGGACAATAAGAAGGAATTCACCATTCCTAGGGTATATACTATTCAACAATCCTTCACTCATGATAATGGGACTATCCCTGGTTTGGGCCTATGGATGTTCACTCTGCTAATCCTCTAAACATCTAAGTAGGCTACTGTGTTGCCATGGGAAAGAGAAGGTATTTAAACCTTACATACTTTGAGGTTTAAGAGCCCACCTCAATGGTGACTACTCACTGTGCACAGTAGGACTGCATTCTCTGCTGGGTTATATGACATGTTGAACACTGGGAACTTGGAACCACTAGGGAGATGCAAAGAAGAGGAAATTGCGAAGCATCAGAATAGAACTGAGAAAATCCAGCTTTTGGATTTTTAAATTTCTCTCAAGGTTGCATTCATTTTCTTTCCATCTAACATTCTAATTTGAGTCCTTTCTTCTAAGTAAAAAGCTTTTAAAAAACAAACCCAGTACACCCTGAATCAGCGAACAGAAGGTGGTGGCAACAACTGAGAAAGGACAGGCTGCAGGGAAGTGGGTTCAGCCTAGTTGAAATCCAAATTCCTACACACAATTACAATTGACACCACAGAGCAACATGACTTGATTTGTCTCTGGCAGTTTTCTCTAGTTCCTTGGAACGTTTATATTAACCCAACTTTTATTGCAGCAATATTGGCAAAGGACAGCAAACCCCCCATGCCAAGGTTTGTCACCATTAATGTTTCAGCATGCTGGTGCAGCTGGCTTTCTGAGAGGACAGTGCTTTTTACTAGGAGTCCCAGGGGTTATCACATCATCTGTGCACTCTGGTTTAGGGTTGTACATATATATTGCTGATGGATGGTGGAAGAATGAGGGAGAGGGCTGTGTATCAAACTAATCCAAAATGACCTTCCCCTCAGAAGACGTGCAACTCTATCTCCCAGTCTGATCTGGGCTGGTCCACTCTAAGGTGAATGTGGTGTCACCAAGTTGGGGTACTCTATTAAAAGATAATTTCCCTTGCTGTGCATAAGAACAGATAGATGAGTTAAGACCACAGCAGCAGAGTTCTCTGTCCCAGGAGTCACTAGCTGAAATTGATGGTTCTAGACCTGAGGGTCTGAACATACCCACTCCCAAGGCTACCTATAACCACCTTCCTTGTCCACTATACTGAGGTATAAATTGGGCAGCACCAAGAAGATCCAAAATGTGATGTGGATGAAAAAAATCCCAAATGCTATTTAAAGAAACACCAGATGAAAGCCCATGGGAGAGATGTTCTGTTATGGACTGGTGTTAGGAAGGTAGGAGAATTAACTGGCCAATTTTAAGCCAGCCTTACCTCCTCAACTGCATGACAGCAACATCTTTAGAGCTGTTAAAATCTAGCTGGCGCAAGAATCGATCCTTGACATAGTGTAGCATGTTGCCATGAACAGCATAAGCGGGTCGCTCTCGTTCCAGTTTAAAGACAATCATGCCACCATCATGACCTGGATGGAAGGTGAAGGAATGGTTGACTTTGGTAAGAGATGGAAGCTAAGGAATAGACAAGGCTGGGGAAAGGGTTGAGACTTCGTAGGGTTCAGGGTTGCCTCTTTGCAATTTCCAGTCATACCTCTACTCCTGGAGGCTAGGTAGAACAAGTTTAATTTCTCTTCCAAATGACAGTCCTTCAAATACTTGAAAATTATCATGTCTTCTTCACCTCCCCTCTCCTCCTAGCAAGAGTTCTATTCTCCAGATTAAAAAGCTCTAAGTTCAGGGGCAGCTAGGTGGCAGAGTGGATACAGCTCTGGCCTTGGAGTCAGGAGGACCTTACTAGCTGTGTGACCCTGGGCAAGTCACTTAACCCCGACTGCCTCACTATAAGGCAAAAAAAAAAAAAATCTAAGTTCTTTCAACTGATATTGACATGACATGATCTCTAAGCCCCAGGAGATTAAGAAAAAGATTTAAAAACTTGATCATTTTCTACTAGCTTCTTCCACTATCATAAGGAGACCTAACCTCCTACTGCTTTTCCTTTTTGGTCTGAAAGGAGAACTACATGTATGTGGTTTAAGATTCTTGATGCCGGGGCAGGTAGGTGGCACAGTGGAGAGAGTACTGGCCCTGAAGTCAGGAGGAACCGAGTTCAAATCTGGCCTGAGACCAAATACTTGACATTTACTAGCTGTGTGACCCTGGGCAAGTCACTTAACCCCAACTGCCCAAAAGAAAACAAAACAAGAAGATTCTTAATGCCAGTCATTTATGAAATATATAGAGAACAGAGTCAAATTCATAAGAATACAAGTATTCCCCAAAGGATGTGAACAGGCAGTTTCCAGAAGAAATCAAAGTTATCTATAATCTTAGCGGGGAAAAAAAATGCTCTAAATCACTACTGATTAGAGAAATGCAAATTAAAACAACTCTGAGGCACCACCTCACACCTATTAGATATGATAGAAAATGAAAATGACAAATGTTGGAGGAGATGTGGAAAAATTGGGATACTAATGCATTGCTGATAGAGTTGTGAACCGATTCAACCATTCTGGAAAGCAATATGGAACTATGCCCAAAGGGTTAGAAAACCATGCATACCCTTCAATCCAGCAATACTACTACTAGGTCTGTATCCCAAAGAGATTAAAAAAAAAGAGAGGACCTATAAGTACAAAAATATTTATAGCAGTTATTTTTGTGGTGGCAAAAAACTGGAAACTGAGGATCATCAATTGGGGAATGGCTGAACAAGTCATGGTCTATGACTGTGATGGAATACTACTGTACTATAAGAAATGATTAGCAAGATGCTTTCAGAAAAACCTGTTCAGACTTACATGAAATGATGAAAAGTGAAGCAAGCAGAACCAGGAAAACAGTATACATATTAATAGCAATATTGTATGATGAACAACTGTGAATGATTTAGTTCTTCTCAGCAATACAATGACCCAAGACAATTCTAAAGGACTTATGCTGAAAAATGCTATCTCCCTCCAGAGAAAAAACTGGTGGAGTGTGAATGCATATTGAATCTTATTTTTTTAAACTTTGCTTTTCTTGTATTTTGGATTTTTTTTTTAGTCTGGGTTTTCTTTCACAACATGAGTAATACAGAAATATGTTTTGCATGATGTACGTGTATAACCCCTGACCTAAATCAAATGGCTTGCCTTCTCAGTGAGGGAGGAAGGGGAAAAATGGAGAGAGAGAATTTGGAACTAAAAATTTTAAAAATGTTAAAAAAGGGGAAAAAAAAGATTCTAAAGGCAAGGGATCAGTACCAAACAGGATCCAGACAAAGAAAGCATGTGATTTGCCAGTGGAATTCAAAATAAGTAGGTTTCTGAGAAAAGAGGACATCTTTTCTCCAAGAAGACTGGAGAAAAAAAGAAACAAAATCCAACCAGTTGGCTCTGATAATCTTGATTTCTCCCATGTTAACCTACTGTGTATCTACTTAAAAAGTGATGGAGAATAACTCTGCGGCACAATGAGGGAGAAAAAAGGGCTCTTACCTGCAGCAAAGAGGTTGAGGTTGGGATGGGCAGCTAGAACCCAGAAACGGTCATGGTCTCTACGGAAGGTCTGAACTCCAGTCCTATTATGGATTGGAGAAAAGAAGAAATAGAAAAATAATCATCAGTTTCCCAGGAATCTTCAATCTGAAAGGTAGCAAGCTAACAAACTAATTGAGGAAATCAAACCAGGACTAACATATTGAACATGCCAAAGTAAAGATGACTAAGGTTATTGAGGCAGCATGGTATAGCGGACAGAGTGCTAGACTTGGAATCAGGACAACCAGGACAATCAGGGTTCAAATTCTGCCTTGAACACTTACTAGCTGTGTGACCCTGTGCAAGTAACTTAACCTCCATGAGTTCTAAAGCTATGATCCTATGATGATTGATCAATACTGAACTGATCAAGAGACCATAATGTTCTTCAGTTTTCTCATCTCAAGTATGTTTTCATTTTTGGATTTCCTCATTTCTTGAACTTACCATAGAATGGAAGGGAAAAAAAATCTGTTTGAATTTAGAGGAATAAAGATCAGACCTGGGAGATCCCCAGTGACAGGTAGAGAGGAACGAATGACTTATCAATCTTCCTTTAAACTGTACAGTCTTTGGTTTGATTTTTCTAAATGCTAAAGAAAATGCACGGACAAATAAAAATCTCTTAGTATAGTTAAAAGGAAAAGAAAGGACCTTACTCCCTTCTTCTACCTCCCTAGGGCTTCTACCTATCCCCATTCCTAGCATTAAATTCCCCATGAACTACCTTACCGCTTCGACATATCCCACACACGAATACTTTTATCCTCAGAATTGCTGAGGATGAGTTCCTGGCGAGGGTGGAAGACGGCACAGGAGACATTGTTGTAGTGACCTCGGCAGGTATCTACCTCCCAAGCCTTAGATTCTGGTAGGAAGAAAGGAAGAATTAGGTCACCAGAAGTACCCTCTCCCTGATCTTCTGCTCTCACTGAAACTGGTTATGTGATAGTGAACTGCTCTCAACCAAATGTTTAGCACCACCACAAAGAACTGTACTAGTAGCTGTAACTGATCAGTGTATTTCCTCCTTCTTTGGTCCTCTCTATAGTTTCAAATTTCTCTCTACTTCCTTTTAAAAATTCTCTTCTTATTCAAACTCCACAATGTCAAACTGCTATTCTAAAAAGAAAGAGGACAGCTTCTATATTTTAGGATTAACATGAAGAACAGAATCACACAATAAGTGTGTATCTTCTTACCTACTGATGGTAGAAGAGCATGTCACAAAGTCTAAGGTCCCTAGTTCCCAGGAGTGGAGTGGCCTACTCACCATTCATACGCCAAATCTTCACTTGACGGTCATCAGCCCCAGACACAATAAGAGGCATAGTGGGGTGGAAGGCGGCCCAGTTAACTCCACGATCGTGACCCTGTGTAGAAGTCATGCAGGAGTAAATCTTTTAACATAGCTTTGCAAATGACAGCTTACCAACAGTAAATCAATGATTCACGCTAGATGATAGAAAAGGATGCTAGTGTCATTGATTTTACTCCTGTGGATAAAATCCTGGAATCATGATTCTCTAAAATTCTGAAATGAAATGAAGATCACCGTTTCAGGTTGCTCAATATTACCAACTGCATACTAAGGTTCACATACCCTCTCTTCTACTCTTTTTGTCTTCACTATATATTACTTTTTCCCCTTTATATACTCTACATTTCAGTCAAACTGGACTACTGGCTATTTCCTGAACTTTGCATGCCATCTCCTCTCCCACGTCTGGAATGTGTTCCTTCCTTATCTTTACTTCCCAAGGTCCTCATCTCCTCTTCAAGGCTCAACTCATGTGACACCTGCTCTGTGAAGCTTTGCTTGACACAATCTTACTTCTCAGTTATCTCCTACCTCTCAGTGTTCATACTGTATACCCCAGTAAAATATAAGCTCCTTAAGGGTAGAGGTCATTGTTTTTATCTATCTCCATATAATTTACTGAATTATCCAGTTTTTAATTTTTACACGTAAAATGTTTTGTTTCCATAACTAAGGACAGGGACCATGTCTATTCCTTCTTTGTAACCCCCCAATTCAACTATGAATTGTACCCATTCATAGTCCCAAGGCGACACTCAATAAATATTTATTGAAAGAATGACTGGATTTCTTACAAAAGGCTTGGAAAAAGGTTCAGTTCTGTGATGGCAGGTGGAGACTATGATCCAGTCTCTCCCTTCTCCTTAGATTTACATAGCAAAGTAACTATCCTTGAGACCAATATGGTCACTTAATCCCTTTCTGGGGAATCTATACCTAATCATTGGCTCCAGAAACAGTACCTCCAAAACGTGTTTTACAACTGCATCCGTTGTCCCAAAGAGATCAACCCCTGTTATTCCCCTCACATCTGACTCCACAGCTCCAGGGGAAAGGTTCTTCTTTCTCAGACCTTTGAGGCATGATACGTAGGCATGGGGGAAGCAAACATAATGTTACCAAAACAGTAAAGCATCAGAGGTGAGGAGGGCACAGTGACAGACAAACATTTAAGAAAAGGAGGGAAAAAATTAGAGACAGGGGAAAAGGAGAAACTGCAAGAATACTGATCCAATTCTTTCCTTAAAATGTTCAATACAGGCAAGAGTACATAACAAACAGTAACATGTCAAAACTTTGCTTGACACTTTGGCTGTATCATACTTTATAAAAGGACAATCAGAGCTTGAAATGAACCTTAGAAATCATCTAGCCCAACACTATCACTCTACAGATGAAGAAGCTGAGGATCATTTTGGTGAAGTGACTTACTCACGGTTATAAAACTAAGTAGCAGAATCAGAACTTAAATCCAAGTCTTCTTACTCCAAATAAAGTGTTCTCTTCACCTGTGATAATATCATGTTGCCTTTCCTTAAAAGGTTTTTGTTAAGTCCAAAATCATAAAAAAAATTTTAAACTTCAAAAATACAGTTTCTAAAAGAGGTTCTTTTTTTCTGTACTACGCTGAGCAGCACTTTTAAATGATCCATTCCCTCCTATAAACCTACATTTAATCTTCTTTTCCCACACAATGGCCTCTGCTCCCAATGATTGAACAATGCGAAAAAATGATCCCAAACAGTGAGTCAATTTCACATTAGCTATTGAATTTTTTTCTGTGTTGTCTCAAAAAAGAAGAAAGGCCATTGCTTGGAACTTTTTTTTTTCTTCATTTGTTTTTTGGAGGCAGTTGGGATTAAGTGACTTGCCCAGGATCATATAGCTAGTAAACGTCTCAGTCCACATTTGAACTCAGGTCCTTCTGATTTTAGGGCTCTATCCATTGTGCCTGGAACTTCTTAAAGCAGGGACTTTCCAGGGAACTCAAAGAACTTTTAAAAGGGACTCAGAGACTATTGCTATGAAGTTTGAAATAACTATTTGTGGGTTGGATAAACAAGTTAAAAGCAGGCTTCCTGCTAAGGCCTAAAAGGCTTACAGCACTGACCAAATTTATTAAGTAGAATATTCAGACTTTTAAAAGGCAGCCTGTCTAGAGGGGGTTATCATGACAATTTACTTAAAAGAAAACTATTCCAAACCAAAAGCCATATTTGTATAAGGCCCATATATATAGCTTACAGGCTGTGAGATTCCTATCATTAAAAACCATTCACAGATCATGTGATTCCTTGTAATCAGAGACAAGACCAAGATGATTATTATTTAGATAGTGCTTTATGATTTTCAAAGAGCCTTCATATTTATTATTACATTTGAGCTTCATGAGAACACTGAATTAGGAAGAGCAGATGTTGTCATTGCCACTTTACAAGAGCAAACAGGATCATTAAGGTTAAATAACTTAGCCAAGGACATATTTCTTAAAATTCAAAGAGGTGGTGGGAACACAACTTTGCTCTTCTAGTTTAATGCTTTTTCTTTTGGAATAATGGCTTTGCAAAACACTCAGCATTCACAAAAACAAAGTATCTTTGAAATCCTTGATATGTAGCACTTTCTAAGGTAAAACAGCTAAATTGCTAGAAGTTCAAAATTTAGTAGAAAAACTCAAGTCACTTGAATGGTCATGCTTCTATACATTTTCAAAGAAGTATTAATACTTCCTGCCATATAGAAAACCAGATGGGAGCAGCAGACAGTCAGGAGGTGAAAAAAATGACACACATTTACCTTGTCCTCTGTACCTAGCTGAGCAGTGTGAAAAAACTCAAGAGCCAACAGGTTGAGGGAAACAAAGCTAATGCTTTCAAAAATTCTTTCAAGGCTTAATAAACAGATTATCACAGGGAACCTTCCTTTTGTTTATTCATCCTGTCCCTTTAAAAGGATCTGTCAGCTTTCTTTAATGATCCTGATGCATGAAACAGAATCAAAGGAAAGCACAAAGACAGACAGCTGGGAGGAACTTCACCTCCAATAAGCATCAACAAATACATTAAAAGGGAAAGCTCTATGACAGAGTGGAAGCCTTTGTTGCACTTGCGTGTAATGACCCAGGAAAGGAGGAGGGGAAAAATGGACAGATGAATAGTGACAGGCAGTGAAAAGAAACTCGGAAAAGAAATACTTGAGCCTTTGACAAGCCACTCACTAAGACTGAACGACAGATGGAAAATTTCTGCAGCAGCTACACAAATCCAGAGGGAGGAGTAGACACACTCAGAACGGACCAGTTTGGTGTACTCTCCAAATGGGGGGTGAGGGTGGAGGAAGGGATAAGGATAAATTCTGGCATCTGATTAAGAGACATTTAGTACAGAGGCATTCCAAAGACTGAGATTACTTACATGAGCTTGGCATGCAAAGGGTTAATTAAGCACGTAAAAATTGAAAATATTAGCTCACTCAAAGCGCAAGCTGCAAGAAATAGCCATTTTTCCCTGATAACGTACTGAAAAGGTTTATTTGTATTAACCAGAAGCTTTTGCTAAGCTGAGGCCTTGAAAGATTCAAATTCTTAGAAAAGATGTTACACTGCATTTAAACAAAGTAAATAAAATCTTGCTGTCAAAGCCATCCCATGTTTTCACTCAAGGGGCTGTCTCCTTTTTTCAAGACTCAGAAAAATCAGTGTGGGAATTCATACTATATTTCAGTTGCTATGCCATTTTATTTTCAACCAAGTAATTGTTCCCAGAATCAGAAGCCACAAATTGTCTCCTAAATATTAACAGCATTGGCTTTAGAAAAGTCCCAGCTCCTAGAAATATGAAGCTAACTTGTTCACCTATGTTTGGTGCTCCCTTGAATAAAAATAAGTAGTACTAAAGAAAGTCTAGAAGGCTCTGGAAAAGGGGAGGAACTTGGGCAAGAGTCCAACCATAAAGCTCACTATTCCTCTTGGGTTAAGAGATTATCGGGAATGAAGGGAGAACAGAAGCTAGTTTGCAAACTTTAGGCACAAACTGGAGGATGGTAAAGGGGAATATTAACATTAGTACCAAAGCTAGCAAGAAATTTCTCACTGCCACAGATATCCATTAGGTTATGACCCAGTTGTCCATGCACTGTGTGTTGCTAGGAGCCAATACACTCCACCACCAGTTAAGCCACCTCTTCCTCTCTCTCTCTCTTTTTTTAGATTCAGGGCCCTTAACTTTGGTGGAGAAATGGTCTCTCCCCACTAAAGTTAAAGAAAAAATGAGTACCAATAATCTGGGCTTCCATACCCAAAAGCCAAGTGGCTATTTTGCATTCTAACTGCCCCAACTTGATTTAGCTTGGCCCCAGAGAACAGACTACGCTGGCACCAGGCAGTATGTGCAGTGCCCTTATGGGGTGAGCAGAGCTGAGCTCTAAATGACCATCCCAGAAACCACTAAAACAGGGTGGGCTAGATTCCAATCCTATTTGGCTCCTGCATCCTCAGAGAGAAAGAGACAGGCGGGGGCAGGGAGTGTGTGTGGTGGAAAGCTGCAGCTAGGTTACTGGGAGAATGGATATTAAATTCCCCCATGTTGGCAGTGAGGAGAGGACATAGGCTTTGACAGCCTCATAGTGCCTATGCCTAGCTCCTCCTGTTGGCATGGCTGGTCTTGCGTCTGGGTAATGTACTTCAAATGGCACAATCAGTCTGGTGGAAAACTGCAATGGCAAATGTTGCTCCAAACTCACCCCACCTCCACCTAGTATCACTCTTTTGCAGGAGACTTTCTACCAGTCCTGACCCAAATTCTTGTAGAAACTTCAACAGAACCTGTAGAATCTGCAGGTGGTGCTCTTAAAACCCTGCTTCTCTGGCTTGTGTTACACGTTACGTCTAGTCTTTAAGAACTGAGATGGGCAAAAATCCAAATTATGCATTGGGGGTGCCAGCTTCTCAACTTGCTCTGGTTGTTGCTATTTACTAACAGCTGGAGTAGCAGTAAGTACTCCCTTGCCTCAGCACACCCTGCTGCCAGTCTGCAGAGCAGCTGGGAGAGGGTGAGCTAGTCCTCATGTCTATAGAATACCGAGGCTGCTTACTTAGCCTGAAGGACTTGGGCAAGGAGCCTTAGGAAGCCTTTCCCTTTAATTGCAGGACAGGGAACACTGTTCTATAGACCCTGGCTGACTCTTTCTACCGCTGCCCCTTTACAGCATGGAATCTCCAAGGATCTTCAGAAGCCCTAGAGCTCCGGAGACAAAGTAATACAAAGAGATATCCCAGCAAGGTGACAGAAGTAATTAGGCAGATAGCCTTGGCATCTGGATCTGTAGCTCTGATTCTAGCCACTAAAACAAAGCTCTTTTCATACATCCAACACTTCATTTCTCTTCTAGGTGGTACCCTTTTCCCATATGTATTTTCTGTCTAATTTGGAAAGCAAATTCTATGGGAAGAGGTCATATTCAAATTGAAACGCCATCTAAATTAAATTAGTACCTCAAAGCAAAGATGTATATGTTATGAAATGGAATAATGACTAACACAACTACCCAAAATATTTGAACCGTAAAATTCCTCATTCTGGAGGACCTTCCTCTGCCTGTGAATGGCTTGACAAAAAGGTATTCAGATCAAAATTCATCTCTATAATGTTAGAAAAACATTCTCACATTAAGGGCTTTCCCTTCTTGGAACAAGAGTACAAGATCTAGGAGTCTTGCTTCCCTGTATTGACCGAAACACTAAATTATTTTCTCAACTGATATGAATTTTGCTGTTGTTTCCCGAGTGAGTCATGATAACTGGTCAGCTATTCCTAATGGAATTCAAGTTTTTTTTGAAAGTGATTTATCTGAAACTGAAATTTCCTTCAGAATCAGGACTATGAGTATTTCCAAATAACTGCTTCTCTCAGAGATTATTATCCACTGACATTTAACACCATCAAAGCTGATTCTGGGTAATGAGGCCCCTACAAAGGTACTGACATCTCTCAAATCAGTCCCTGTAAAGTAAATCACTCTCACTGCTTTGGGCAATTGCAGTTTTCCATCAAATTTGATCATACTGTCCCCTGAACTTGGGTAGCTCACCAGAAATATCCCAAACACGAACAGTCTGGTCCAGGCTAGCTGATACCACCAGGTCTTCTGAAGGGTGGAATTGGGCACACATTACATAGTGGTTGTGTCCTGTTAGCACACTGTAAAAAGATGAGAAAACAAATCAAAAAGACATTCAGACACACTCAAATTGAACACCATTCCCAAGATAAGCATATGTTTTGGGCCTTCACTGAGCAGTCTTACTACTCTTTACTGTCTAAATATTGCTGATTCCAGAGAATTGTAACCTTCCAATTAAATATATCTTTTTCAAGCACCAGTGCAAATTTAAAGATACTTGAAAATACAGCAATAATCTAGGTATATAGTGCACGCACCGCAAACACAATCGCAGTACTTTGCATTGGGAAATAATTGATAAGATTTTTGTGGGATATCTCTCTCAAAGGCAATCACTTCAAACTGGTCAAGTGTAACCCTCTCAGCATCTCATGGAAAATTCCACATAGGGTTCTAGCCAAAGATATAGGTAGATCATAATATGCCTAGACCCTAGCATAAGGACTTGACAGTTAAAAAATGGAAGAACAGCTCAAATTCCCTGCTCTAAAAACTTCACATGATGCTCCAACTATCTCTAAAGATTATAACTAAATCTTCATGAAGTCTTGGGCTTTAATCTTCCTAATTTGGCCCACTGTTTTAATTTCACTTTAGAATACATTTTCTTAGCTGTTGTGCTAACCCTATCACCTATCTGAAAAAAAAAAAGATGTCAAACATTCACTACTGAGTTTCCCTATATAGCTAAAATTGTGCATTCTATATATTCTAAAATTCTATAAACATCCTGAAAATGCAATCAGTAATTAACTAATATTACATAATCCCCTTGGGAAGAGGGTCAGAATGATATTAATGTACTCTATAATGTAGCAGATTAAAGTACTGAGGAGTCTGAAGGCTCCAATGAATCCTCTGCCTTCTATATTACCAGACACAGGTCCTGGACTGCCAGTTCCACACACGGATGGTCTGATCATCTGAGGCACTCAGAATCCAAGGATATTCCTGAAAGATATTCCAGAAACAGAGATTTATCACGCAACCCCTATTATTTTTCTTATTATTATTCTGGGTTCACTCCAATGACTAAGGTTTTAGCTATACTTAATAGGAGTATTGAGGCTTTCGGCAAAAATGCTAGTACTCCAAGGGACTGAACACAGTATGGAGACTCCTCTCCTATGTACTTATAGTTTGTATTAGATTTAGCACTTTCAGAGTATAAGACAATGGAATACAGACATAAAAGGGAGTTAGGACTGGTTTAGGATGAATTCCCACAGACAGAGATTAGCACTATTAATAAGAATGCAATTTTAGGAATTATTAATAAAAACTGGCCAGCCCATAAAACATTTCCAGTGTCTGCTTTCCCACCAGAAGATACAAATGTTGGGGCAGCGAGGTGGCGTAGTGGATAGAGTACTGGCCCTGGAGTCAGGAGGACCTGAGTTCAAATCTGGTCTCAGACACTTGATACTTACTAGCTGTGTGACTCTGGGCAAGTCACTTAACCCCATTGCCTAGCCAAAACAAAACACCAAAACAGAAGATACAAATGTTGTCATTCCTTGCCTGATATTTATAATTCAGTTACATAGTAGGCACTTAATAAATAGCACTTTAAGATCTGCAGAGAACTTTATAGACATTATCTTACTGGAGCCTCACAACAAATTTATGAGGTAGATACTACAAATATTATCATCCCTTCTTCACAAATCAGAACACTGAGGGTCAAAGGGTCTATAACAGACAGTAAATGCCAGAGGTGGGATTCAAACTCAGGTCTTTCTAACTCTAAGTCTAGAGCTCTATCCATTATATAATGTAATATATAAGGTAATCTAAAGAGTGAAAATACACTAACATTTGCCTTGAAGGAAGTTACAGATTCTAAGAGGTGGTGGTAAGGAGGTTTCAGACATAGGGAAAGGCACTGAGATAGAAAACAGAATGATGAGTTAGGGGAGCAGCTAGTAGATTAGCTTGGCTGGAACATAGCATGCATGAAGTAGAATAATATAAAATAATTCGAGAAAGGCAGGTGGGAGTCAAACACAATAACTTGCTCTAAACAAAGGATTACGTAATTTTTTAAAATTAAAGTGTGAAAATGCCAAATTAGTATTTTTGCATAGCTGCCTAGATTATTTTAATGAGCATTATTATTAGTCTTGAATATTTCAGTTGCCTTTTACCTTAACCTACTCACTTTATCAAAATGTTTTTCAATGAAATCATAAGACCTATCTCATACATAGGACTTCAGTTACCAATACTGAAATTATTTAGTCAGAGCTATGTCCCTCTTTCTCAGTCTGCTTTTGTCTCAGCAAGCAGCAGCAAAAACTATTAAGATCCATAATTTTTATTTATTTATTTTTTGTTTTGGTTTGGTTTTTTAGGCAACTGGGGTTAAGTGACTTGCCCAGGGCCACACAGCTAGTTAAGTGTCAAGTGTTTGGTCTGAGGCCGGATTTGAACTCAGGTCCTCCTGACTTCAGGGCTGGTGCTCTATCCACTGTGCCACCTAGCTGCCCTGCAAGATCCATAATTTTTAACTGATTGCCATAAACAAACATGTATTTGAAAAGTCACATTGCAATAAAACTTTCTGACATAAGATTAACATACAGATTCCTTTTTTTGGCTTTCAAAGTTGGCGATCCAAATCAAATTCCCATTGCTTCCTTAAATGAAAACTGTTTCAGTAAGAATAGTTGGAAATAAACACAGCCCTGGATTCTTCTTTCCACAGAAGAAAATGGCGTAGCAAGAGAATCAACTACATTACAATGACTCAAGCAAAGCTGAAGAGTAAGATATGCTCAGACACTGCTTATTTTGTTGACAACTCATGATCTCTTAAAGGTGTTTAGGTGGGAGACTCCTGTATGGGAAACAACAGACAAATGTTCCAAAAACAAGGGTACTGTAGATAACTCACATGATGAAAAAATGTGGTACGGATATAATCCAGGTGTCCAAGCAACGTGAACAGACAGCGCCGAAGTTTGTAATTCCAGACCTAGATGAAAGAGAAAAGTCAACAAAGAATGTCTGTGGAATATGTGGACACTAAGACACTCCTAGATATTTACTACTGGAGTTCCAAGTTTCTCAACATACTTATTTGACCTTATCTTCTTATATTTTTGAGTCAATCTAGGAACTATTTCCTCTATCTGGATAACTAATCCCTTTAATAATGTAGAAAGAAAATATTTACTAAAGTACTTTTTGTAGTAGCAAAGAACTAGAAAAGTAGGTATCCACTGACTGGAGAAGTGACTGAACAAATTATGTTTTATGCATGAATTGTTCTTTTTCTTTAAAAAATGTTTTTATTTTTACATTTTATATATTTTTTTAATAGTAACTATATTATTCCCTCTTCCCTACTCAAAAGCCATTCCTTTTAACAGGGAATAAAAGAGGAAAAAAAAAGTTTAACAAAACTAACACATCAATTAAATCTGACAGGAGATGCAATGTTCCAGCTCACAATTACTCATGCCTATATGAAGAGATGTTCATATTCTCATCTTTTCTTTGAGGCCAAGATTATTCATTACAATCATTCAGCATTCCGTGTCTTTTTGTGTGTGTGTGTTCTCTCCATTTACACTGTTTTTATTGCTTTCCTGATATTGCATAGTATTTCACAGCCTATCAGTTCATTTAAAGATTATGCCATGAACAATGGCAAATATGAAGAATTTCAAATAGTCTGGGAAGACTTGTTTGAAGTGATACAAAATCTCCAGAACCTAGAAGATAATTTACACAACAATAAAAAGAAAATATCACTGAAAGACTAGAATTCTGATCAATGTAGTGACCAATCAAGATTTCAGAGAATTGAATGGTGTAGCACAGGACATGTAATTTCAGACATTTCAAACAACAGGTTGACTAGTTTTGCCTGACAATGCTTATTTAAGACTGGGGTTGGGGGCGGGGGTGTGGAGGGAGTGGGGAGAGATGGAGGAGTCATTGGAAAGTAAAAGAGATATAAAAAAGACTACTGAAAAATGTAAAACTAAAACTAAAACTTTACAATGAAGTATTGACCCAAACCTCAACATGACACTCTTCATCAGCAGGACATAGGGCCCTTTTAACCCAATCCATCAGAGCTCTCAAGACTCAACCCATTTGGGGCAATAATGTAATTTACAAGTATAATTCATCAATAAATATGGCATATAGCAGATAACTCAAAAGAAAACCAGAGTGCCTCATACTGATACCATTTTTAAAACCTTTAATTTGATGAAAGGTGGTGCAGACATCCATACTTTGACTCTCACTTTATAAAATGAAATAGTACCTACCTACGAGGAGCTCAGATTCTAGTGGGTATAATATGTATACCGATAATAATAAAAGCTTCTATTTAAAAAGCATTTTAAGATTTTCAAAGCACTTCATAGACATTATCTTACTAGAGCCTCACAACATATTTATGAGGTAGACACTATAAATGTTATCATCCCAGCTTCACAGATGAGGAAACTGAAGGTCAAAAGGGCTGACTTGTCCATAGTCATACAGCTAGTAAATGCCAGAAGTGGGATTCAAACACAGGTCTTCCTGACTCTAAGTCTAGTGTTTTATTCACTATGTCATGTAAATATGAGGCAATCTGAAGACTGAACATGCACTAACAATTGCCTTCAAGAAAGTTATGGATTCTAAGAATACTTGTGCTTATAAGCTTCAGTATTTCCTGACTGAAATGTTCCTTCAGACTATCAAATCCCATAGGTCCCCTGGATTTGTGGTGATTTAACCATCTGCTTATTTTCTTCTTTGTCTCACCTCTTTGTAAAAAGGAGTAACAGGGAGTGAAGAATTCCAAATAGGTGATTGTATCCTAAATAACTGAAGCTTACTTTCAAAAATCCTCACCTCTGTTACATTTTTTTTCTTGTTGATGAAACCTTTTCCAAAATGTCAAACCCTTCCCTTTTTTCTAAACTGCATATACTAAATATAATTAATTTTGTCTTGAAATGCCAAAATAATTATTATGAACATAAATTATTGCAATGTGACCTACTGAAATGCATAGGGCTATTGATCCTACATGAAATGGACCAGGTCTGTAGTGCTGGGGAAAAAAAAAAGAAAAAGCAGAAAACAAGTCTGCTTTCTAATTAATCAATAAGCATTTCTTAAGCACTTAATATTTACCAGGCACTGCACTAAGTTCTATAGTTCTTCTGCCTCATGCTGTCATATCTATCATTGGCATAAAGTTTTTTCTCTTTGGTGTTTGAGCAGTACTTTGTTTGCACCTCCTTTATGAATTTACCATGTTCTTTTCTGTTATTATTAATGTGTATTTGCTGTATCCCTCTTTTAGATTCTAACCTTCATGGGGAGAGGGATCATATTTTATTCATATTTATATCATACTATATTTCTCAGGTTTAAAATAGCCCTCAGCACAGTATATACACAACAGATGTTTGCTGAATTTAACTGTTGTTGCTGTGTCTTGTTGCTATAATTTGGGGACTGAGGGTGGCCCTGTTTACCCTACAGAATAAAGCACTTAATTGTGTGAATAACTTCAGGTCAATTATTTATGGTTCACATCTTTTCCACTTATTTGAAGGTTTACAGCTGCCTCCCTGCTAGTTCAGGATGCCAGAAATAAGATGTTCAGTTAAGTGAGGTATCCCTGTGCCTCCCACTATTCCCGACCTTCCCACATTGTTGATTTTTCCCAGACCATATTCTCTCTACCTTGATCTTATAATCATCTCCTCCAGAGACAAACAGTGGCTGCTGTTTGTGGAAGTCAATGCCTCGTACAGGACCTAGAAAAGTGATGTGGTAGCGGAGCATGAAGAAACCAGAGAAAATATGTTACAGGAGTTATAAATGTCTACCCTCCAGGGAAATTCCTATTCAGTAGTATACAGCCTTTACCATTTTCAATCCTATTTAATTCCAAAAAATTTAAGTTCAAGTGAGTTTCTGATTATGAGTAAATGACAACAGATGGACAGTTAACAAGTACTACATTGGAAATCTACAAGATACAAAATGAATCAAAGGAAGGTCTCCAGTGCATTGTAAAGATTCTCTATAGACTTTACATGAAAACATAGTCAATAATTGCAAAAGTTATGAGGGTTAAGATGGGCTCAGATCTATGCTAGTAGGAGTAATAATAATAATGAGAGCTGACATTTAAATACTACTTTAAGATTTTAAAGCACTTTACCTACCTTATCTCATGATCCATAACAACTCTACAAACTAGATTATGTAGGTATATTATTCCCATTTTTTTTTGGGGGGGGGTTAGGCAATGGTGTTAAGTGACTTGCCCAGGGTCACACAGTTAGTGTTATGTGTCTGAGGCTGGATTTGAACTCAGGTCCTCCTGAAACCAGGGCTGGTGCTCTATCCACTGCGCCACCTAGCTGCCCCAATTATTCCCATTTTTAGATGGAAAAATTAAGGTTCAGAGAGGTTAAATGACTTGCCTATCATCACACAGATAAATAGTGTCATAGGCAGTATCTGAAGACAGTTCTTACCTAACTTCAAGTCCAGCTCTCTTTCCATTATACCATAGTGCCTCTCAAATTACCCACAGTAAACAAGTCATAGACCCACTGAAATTTTGAAGGTGGATGCCATAACCATCCATCATCTTTTTGGTGTCCTATATTCCTTTTGCAGTCTGGTGAAGCCTATCAACCCCCTCTCAGAGTGTCTTTTTTTTTTTTTGGTGAGGCAATCTGGGTTAAGTGACTTGCCCACGGTCACACAGCTAGTAAATGTCAAGTGTCTGAGGTCAAATTTGAACTCAGGACCTCCTGACTCCAAGGCTGGAGCTCTATCTACTGCGCCACCTAGCTGCCCCTCAAAGTGTCATTTTTAAAGGAATGAAATAAAATGCACCAGATTACAAAGGAAACCAATTATGTTAAAATATACATATTGAAATATTTTCTTTAAAAGGTACATGGACCCCAGGTTAAAACCCCCCCCTCTGGAACTCATTCTCTTACCATCATGCTCATCAAATTTGTCAATAAGGGTACACATTCGGTAATCCCACAGCTGGATGACTCCATTGTGAAGACTAGTTAAGATCCAGGGTCGTTTGGGGTGAAAGCTGAGTCCTGGGAAGAATGACATAGTGAACGACAATTAAGAGAGGCTCAATGCCTCAAGCCCCTAACAATTCAGACAGGAAAGAAGTCATTTGATCCTCAAATTTCATGTCAACTTACTCTTGCCAATCAGATGAAGAGTATTTCTTCTCACTCCCAGAAAATGAAACCTCTAAATTCCTTATGGAATTTGGAGCTAACCCAGTAGAAATTAATGCATCTCAGAATCCTAGAATTTCAAATTTGGAAGGTGCCTCAGAGGTCACCCAATCTAACACATACTTCACCTAGAATTACTTTTACAATAGCCCCAAGTGATCATTCAGCTTTGAAGACCTCTAGAGAGGGGGAATCCAATTCTAAGGCAACTCATTTCACTTTTTGTCAGCTCTAATTGTTTTGAAATGTTTCCTTATGTCAAGTCAATTTGCCTCTCTGAAACATCCCCCTGTTGATCCTAGTTTTGCCCGGTGAGGTCAAAGACAGCCATTCAAATACTTGGAGTCGTTATTACACCCTCCCTAAATCTCTTTCTCCAGACTAAATATCCTTAGTTCCTTCAACTGGTCACCACATAGTCCTTCGCCTGTGGATGCTCTACAGCTTATAAATGTCCTTCTTAAAATGTGATGTCTAAAAAGGAACACAATACTCTAGATGTGATCTGAACATGTCATAGAACAGCAGAATTATCACCTTCATTCTGTACATTATACCTCTCAGTGCTGCCTCAAATACCAATAGTTTTTAAGCCCCAATATCATACCATTAACTCATACTGAGTTTGCAATTCATTAAACACCCAAGATCTTAATTTGGAGAACTATCAACTGTCTATCTCTTTTTTCCATCTTCAACTTGTGAGGGTGATTTTTTTAACTTTAAGTAACGGACTTTATATTTTTCTTATAAAAATCTGTTATATTAGATTCAGCCCAACATTCCAGACTGTTAATATCTTTTTGGATCCTGATGTCAATTTGAAATCATTTGACATACTCATGATGAATTTATAAGGAAATGTGGGTTACATTTTTTATAATGTAGCTGCATTATGAATAGGTTTGAAAGTTACAGACAGACCAACGTTTCTTGTGTGATATATCCTGTAATCAATGCACCAATAAGCATTTATCAAGTGCTTGCACTATGCTAAATACTGGGGATATAAATATAAAAGATAATCCTTATCTTTAAGAAACTTTAATTTTAATAGGGGAAGCAATAGATTGACAGAGAAGTAACTACAGCATATATACAAAATAAATACAAAGTGATAAAGAGGAGGGAAAAGATACTTGGAACATGGGAATCAGGAAAGATCTATTGAAAGAAGTGCTAGCTGAGGTGAGCTGAGCCTTAAAGGAGCCAGAGGTTCCATTAACGGAAGAGAGGACAGTAAACATTCTAGTTAAAAGGAGAGCCAATCATAAAGGCACAGAGATGAGAGATACAGCACTACGTACCAAGAACAGCAAGTCTAGAGCCCAGAATGTGTTGTAATAGGTGGGAGAGAGAGGATAAGCTACTAGCAATCATTATCTCTCTTTATTCCCACCTTTTTCAGAGAAGTCAAAAGATAGCTATATTGTAACTCTCATTTATTCAGAAATGAAGGCCTTTGGGGAACAGATGGTTTACTTATGGTCATATATAAGAGTTGAACGCTTGGGCCATGGGATTTCTACCTACAATTCCTTCTCTACAAGTCATGACTGTACACCAAATGTTTGTATACTTGGTAATGCCACAAAAGTTCTTGTTGCAGTTATTTGTTCAGAATACCTTCTATTCTCCTACCACTAACTCCTTGCCACTCAAGGTCACTGAAAAACCTTAAATGTACTTTATGATAATCAAGTTCTTCATAAGAACCTGAGAAATTAGGAACGACCCTCAATAATTCCAGTTCTTACTAAACCTAAAAGATGAGATTTGATTTTCAACGTCCTTGCAGAGTTTACTCCTCTACCTTTTCCTTCTTCTTTAGATTTTATTGAGGAATCCCTGACAGAGTCCTAGGAAACATACCTTCGCTTCCCATCTTCACACCCAGTCAATCTTTACAAAAAAATCTTCAGGTTTCAACCATGTGCCAGGCACTGTGCTAAGTGCTTTCTATAAATATTATCTCATTTGATCCTTACAACAACCCTTTGAGGTGTTATTGTTATCCCCATTATGCAGATGAGAAAACTGAGGCAATCAGTGGTTGAATGACTTGCCCAGAGTAACACAGCTAGTAATGTCCGAGGCCACATTTGAACTCAGGTCTTTCCTGATTTCAGTCCCAGCGTTCTATCCATTGCACCATCAGCTGCCTCTACAAGGTAGAGACACAAGATGGTCTAGGGACAGCAGAGACTGATGAAGGCAAGGGGATGGAAATAGTGCAGCCTCTAAAAGCAGAAGTAATTAGTCTTTGTCCCCCAAAAGATACCCGAGAGGAGTAGGTAGGTGGGAACAGGATCAGAATTCAGAACCCAAGAACTAAACCCACAACACTCAGTTTAGCTACACTAAAAAGAGGCTTAAAAGAGAGAGACCAATATCTTTGCAAGACACCGAGGGATGGGTAGGATCTGCTAAGCTCTTAGCAATACTACCCTGTCCATCACTTCACCTTTTCAGAGAAATCAAAAGGAAAAAAGAATGACAACCTTCATTCATAGCCCAAGGACTAGGGAGGAGAAGGACGTGTGTGTGTGTGTACCAAAGGGGATTGGGGATGGTGGGGAGTGAGGGGTCCGGGGAAGGCAGTAAGGTCTGTCAATTAATCAACCTACTTAGGTTGCACTAAGGGCCTACTATGTGATTGTGCTGGGCGCTAGGATATAGAAGGAAACAAATTATAAGGCAGTCTGTGCCCTCAAGGAGCTTACGTCCTAATAGAATTGGACGTGATCACAGAGAAGTAAATAAGGAATATGAATCCCCCCCACCCCACAATACATCTGTGTCGGAAGAGAAGGCGTTCGGGATCGCCAAGGTACCCGGGAATGGGGGAGGGGAGAGAGAAGGGGGAACGTAATAAAAGGGGTCAAATCTGAAAGGAGGGGTGGGGGAAAACCCAGGGATCACAAAGCTCCCTCTCCTTACAGGCTGACCCCGACCCGTTCCCCTCAGGCCTCAGATCTTTGATCGTTCTTCCTCCCCTTCCCCCCACCCCTCCTAGGGCGAAGGCGCCCCCTCAGCCGCCACACCCCTACCCAGTGCCCGGGACCCTTGTCTTCCTCCCCACCTTTGACTCGCGCACTCTTGGTCTCGAACTTGGTCAGCATCTTTGTCCGCCCTAGCCCAGGCTCCGGCGGCGGCCCAAATTGCAGCCTGTCTTGCCCCGGTCTCCTCCACGTCAGCACCGCCCCACAGCCGCAGCCGGAAGCGCGCTACGCCTAACGCACTTCCGCCTGCAGGCCACAGAGACTGCAGTGGAGCGGCCTAGAGAGGCCTCTGTCAGGCTGGAGGGGGCAGGAGGGGGCAGGAGGCGGAAGCTGCCCGGAGAGGCAAGATGGCCACTGCTGGGGGTGGCGGAGGAGCCGCCTCCGGGGGCCGGCGAACCTGCCTCCTCCTGTGCTTCGTTTCTCTGCTGGCAGGTGAGCCCTCCCCACCCCCCAGAGCCTCGAGGTCCTCTTTGCGAGAACTTCCTTTACTCTGAAACCGCCCAGGCGCCCTTGTCTGCTCTTGGGTCCTCTGTCCCGCCGACTCCTAGATCCCCCTACTCAGCTTTCCTGCGACTCAAGTTCCGCGCTTCTCGTGGATTTAAAGCCCCCACCTCTCCCTGAGGAGGCCCTCCCAGTGTGCCCGGAGGGGCTGCTGTCCGAGGCCACCCTTTCAGCCTGGGCTTGTTAGAGGCTCCTGGGGTCTCGCCTCCTGTTGATTCTGCGATAAGGCTCGTTCCCATCCCCGTACCTCAGTTTCTCCTCTCTGCCAAGTAGATCGAGACAGACTCCTGCATTCCTTGGCTCTTCAGAACTACGAGGCAATGTTTCCAGGAGCCTTAAGATTTGGGGTGGGGGTGGGGTGGGGCTGCAGCAGGTGTTTGCTTTCAAAGATTTCTTTTCGTGTGCACCTTGTGGGGTCGCAGAAGGTTGCCCTCCTCTCCTCCGTGTCTCGAGCTACCACTGTTCCTTCACCAGTGCAATGTTGGTAGCTCTTGTCCTTCAAGATCTCCAGAGAAAGAGAAACCGCACACTCCCTCACATGACTGACTAGTGTATTGGGTGTAGTTGTAAGAGTTGAGTCTTGACAGTCGTGTGTGTAGACCATTTCCACCTCCTCTCTTGAGATTACAGAGAAAGATTTTGAATCCAGGGACTGCTCTGGAATTCATGCTCTTTTTTAAAATTAATCAGTAATCCACATATAGGGCTTCCTTTGACCACATTTTCTCTTATCTGGAAACCAGTATGACTGCCCTGTAGTGGTTTATAATAATCCTTTTTTAAATTTCTGTAATGGTTTTTGGGGAGGAGTATGCACCTTCCTGTGTCCTAATGGAAATATTAAGTGAATATAATATGCATTATGTTCATTTTATGGAGGATAAAACTCAGCCCAGAGAGGCTGAGTGATTTGCTTAAAGTAAGGAGGTAGATAAAGACACTGCTAAAACTAGAACTTAAATTTCCCAGTCCAGGATTTTTCCCACTGACATATGCTGGCCTCTTGCCACCTCCTTGCTGAGAAGATGAGTGATGGAACTGTGCTCGTTTTTTAAAGCTTCTTTCTTACACCTGTTGCTTTCTCTTCAGGTTTGTGCCAAGCAAATTCAGTGGAGAGGAAGATCTACATCCCCTTGAACAGAACAGCTCCCTGTGTCCGCCTGCTCAATGCCACTCACCAGATTGGCTGCCAGTGTAAGTTGGAAATTCATGCTTTAGTATTCCCAATATTCCAGAGCCTGTATTAGGTACACTGCATGTTAATTGGTGGTAGCAGGAAAAACTAGTAAGAACAGGGGAGAAGGGAAATCAGTGATCACATCTGACTGTTAGATTGGTCTTTTTAAAAAATAAATTCACTGATACATTTTTTGTTTTTTCTCCAAATTCTTCACATTTTCCACTCTTTAAGGCTCAGGAACATTAAATTCACATATAATTTATTCACTTATTCTGTGGTCATTGGGCACATATTTTGTTTTTAACCCTCTGTTATTACAAATAATCTTCTTGTAAGTTTTAAAAAAATATATAGGTCTTTTCTTGCTGTCAGTAAGTGCCTTAGGATATAGGCCCAACTAAATCTCTGGGTCAAAGGGAATAAACAGTTTCGTAACTTCTTATGTAATTCCAAACTTTTCTAGAATGGTTGAACCAATCCATAACTCCACTATCAGTCAATTATCATGTCTATCTTCCTATAACCCTTCCAAGAATAGGTTTTCTCCTCTTTTAACATCTTTGCCACTTAGTGGTTGTGAGGTAGTACTTAAGGGTTATTTTAATTTCCCTTTTTTCTGATTATTAATAATCTTGTATGTTTCTAAGTGGTGATAAGTAGCTTGTATTTCTTCTTTTGAAAAAAGTTCATGTCTGCTGTGTACAAGTATGGTACAGTAGAAAGAGCCCTGGCTCAGGAATAAAAGACCTGGGTTCAAATCCCACCTCATCACAGATGTGGAAAATGAATTTGGACAAAAATGGAAGCTTCTTCATGACAGTAATGGTTTTGCATGCTTGTATTTATATTTCAGGTGCTTACAAAGTATCTGGCACACGGTTAGCACTTAATAAACACTCTCTCTAGATGTTCTCTGAATATCCTTTCAGGTCTAGATCTGTTTGATTGCTTGTCTGTTGTACAGTGATATTCTTAGAGTCTGAGGTGGACTTCTGCGAAGCAGTGAGTTGTTTGATAAAGAAGAAATTCTGAGAATGCTGATTAGTTGTCATTCATGGGAATGACATTCAGTGAAATCATGGAACCCTTGTTATCGGAAGGAGGGATGAATTGTGAAGCCGTGCTAAGAAGCCCTGCTTGAAAACATTACAGAGGAGAGGATGGGGTGATTGACTCCCCATAGCTGGTGGTCCCATGATTTGATTTTCATTCCATCAGTAGTACCTGTTTCTGTACATCACATTTCCTCTTGAAATAGGAAGTTAGACTTTTAATGATGGGTTCTGGCACAGAGAGTCTGGTAAGAAACTCTTTCTGACATACTGTGTGATCTTGAACAGATTATTTCACTTCTCTGAGACTTGGGTTCTATTCTTTCCATGAAAAATGATGAAAATGGTCCCTCTCTTTCTTTCAATGGAGGATTTGAGATTCAGTGAGAGTACCACTTTAAACTCATAAAGATAAGCTTAGTGTTTGTAGATTATATTGAATAGGTATTTTGGTTTCAGCAGCTTTTTGCTATAGGTTAAAGCACCTGGGACGTTTAGGATACCATGTCACTGGTTGATGAAGGGAACCATTCAAATGGGCAGAATTGTTCTGAGAGCTCTGAATTACCAGCATGTTGTCTCCCCATTATCATCCTGTCCTGTCTTTAGTCAACTAGTTGATTGTAACAGCTAGTCCCTGGGCAAGTTGGCTAGTCCCAGATAGCCCCTTAAGTTATAGGATCATTGCTGGAAATAATCTTTAAGCTATATCCAACATGCAGTAATGGGTGGTGGATCTGTTATAGTCTCTAATCACAGTTTTACTTCCAACCCTAAGTATAGGGGCTTGAACCCCATTTCCCTGGAGCCAGGTCTAGTCTAGGTCTCACTAGTCTGTTAAACCCATTTTGACAGTGACTCATCCATCATGCTGCCTATGCTTACCACAGCCCTAAGCAAAGCTAAACATTGGCAGGGGGAGGAGCAAGATTCAGGCTATTTCCTCATTAGAAACCTGTTTCCTTTTCAATCTGGCTAGGTCTAAGTCTCCCCCTTCAAGTTCATCTACCTCTGAACCAGGCTCTACCCTCTTTAATTGGGGTTGCTAACATGAGAATCCTCTGGGGAAATAGTGAGACGCAGTATTGGTTTACTGATAACAATATCTTGTGTTTATTGGACTCCTTTCCGCAGGGCGCTCAAAGGCTGGTTGTACAGGCTTCTTTTCCATACGGTCTGTCTCTGCATGGGGAGATAGTTAGGGAGCAGTGGAGCTGATTGCCATTTTTGCCCAGAGAGGTTAAGCAACTTATTTAAGGTCATACAGTGAACCAGGGATGCTCCCTAGACTAGAATCTAGGTTTCCCACCATTTTTCTTTTCCCCAGGCCTTCTTAAAGCAGGAGTTACTAATCTTTCATAGCCAATATCCCTTTCTCTCGCCCCAGTTTACATATAATACAAGTAGAGTGATCTACAGGTCAAACTCAACTAGAAATGGACCATAGTGTACATATTGACTTAGAAAACCACATTATCAACACATAAAACCACATAACCACACTTAGAAAACCAAATTAAATTAACATTATCTATGTTGTATTGTCTTTTTATTTATTTGTTAAACATGTCCCGATTGCATTTACACCTGTTCTGCAGCACTCCCTGGTTTTGCAGGCCAAATGGGGCCCGAGTTTGACTTCTCTTGTCTACAATGTTCTTCAAATCTTTGTAAAAGTTGTTTCAGATTCAGAGCTTTTTCCTAGTGTTTGTCACCTGTGATCATTATTTACCAAGCAATACCTTTCCTCCATGTCAAACTTGTTCTTCTTTCAGGGTCCCCAACCTAGATTCCAGGAGAGTGAAGCTAGCTATGTGTGAAGCTGCATGAGAACTTGTGGTTTTGTCCTGTGTGGCTCTGTTTCCTTATAAATGTGGGAGTTTCACTGCATGCTGGCCCAGTGAAATAGGGTCAATAGAATAAATTCCAGGGTCTTTACTTTGTTCCATCTTGTCACTGTAGCTTCCATTAGTGGGGACACAGGAGTGATCCATGTAGTGGAAGAGGAGGAAGATCTGCAGTGGGTCCTAACCGATGGCCCTAACCCACCCTACATGGTACTGCTGGAAGGCAAACTTTTTAACAGGTGAGATCTGGGTGTGTATGCCTGGAAAAGGTGAGCAAGCAGAGGAAAATAGGAGCCTTCTCCCAACTTCAAAAGATGGGCACTACCCTTGACTTTCCTGGTATTGGCTCCTTTTGGAAAATTATATTGATTTAAAGAGAATGTTTTCAGTGATCCTGAAACTAGATCTGTCATCTGGCTGGGTACTGTTTGGGTAGAGGGACAGCAACCAGCATTATCCAGAGTCTGGAGAAGCTGGGATTAGGGTTAGAGTCAGGAATCCCACAATAGGGCTCAATGAGGAAAGAAATGGCTTAACTCTGCAGTCAGATATTTTTCCCTTCCTATGGGGAGAGAAGCAAGGGTGTTGGATTGCCTGACACTTTCTTCTTTCCTCTTCCCTTATTCCAT